GCACGGGGATGGGGATCTGGGAGCACTGGGATGGGGATTTGTGAGACCGGGAGCACGGGGATGGGGATCTGGGAGCACTGGGATGGGGATCTGGGAGACCGGGAGCAGTGGGATGGGGATCTGGGAGACCGGGAGCACTGGGAGTACTGGGATGGGGATCTGGGAGACCGGGAGCACTGGGAGTACTGGGATGGGGATCTGGGAGACCGGGAGCACTGGGATGGGGATCTGGGAGCACTGGGATGGGGATCTGGGAGCACTGGGGGTCCCGGGGGCGGATCCCGGGTCCGGTGTGCGCTGATTCCGCGCCCCCCCCCCCCCCCCCCCCCCCCCCGCAGAGAACCATTCTGAGGAGGAGCCACCGGAGGAGCTCTCGTTCCCCGCCGGGACCCTCAACACGACCCTGGGCCGGCTCCAGCCCCACGCCCGGTACCGCCTGGCCCTGCGCGCCCTCAGCCGGGTCGGGCCCGGCGCCCCCGTGCTGCGCATCGGCAGCCTCCGGCCCGAGCCCGGTGCGTGCCCCGGTACCGCGTGGGACTGGGGGGGGGGGGGGCGGTGCCGCGGGGGGGGAGCTCGAAACTGCCTTGAAACCACGACGGGCTCCATGAGACCCCTGCAGGGGGACCCCAAAACCACCATGGAGGGGCCTGGAAATGCCCCCTTGAGATCTCCCCCCCCTAACTCCCCCCATGACCTCAATAAACTCCAATGGACTCCATCACCCACCAGTCCCTCCTCAAATGGATCCTAAAGAAATCCATCTCCCCCCATGATCATCTGTGGAGAGCCCAAAATGCCAAGGCAGGGGTGATATGGGGGGGGGGCTCTGTTCCTGGGGACACCCCCCTATTTGAACACCCCCCTCTGCAGTGCTGCCGGTGCTGGGGAGCGTGGTGGTGGGAGAGGTGGGCGAGGACTTCACGGTGCTGCACTGGACCCTCGCCCACCCCCAGGCTGACATCGAGTTCAAGGTCCAGTACATGAGCAAAACCAGTAAGAGAGCCCCACTGGGATGGGGGGGGGGTGTGTGTGTGTGTGTGTGGAAATGGAGTTTGGGGTTGGCCCCTGTGGCACTTGAGGGACTACCTGCAAGTAAGGAGAGGAATGGGGGGGGGGGGTCCATTGGGTGATGGGGAAAGAGGTGGGATGTGGGCAATGTACCCGCATGAGCACTGGGGGTGCCCATGGGTACGTTATGGGGGGGGTGTTTCACTGAGTCCTCCCTCTCCCCCCCCCCCCCCCAGCGGAGGGGTCCTGGCACGACTCCGGCTCCGTCAACTCCTCGCTGGGGCTGTTCCGGCTGCGGGACCTGAGCCCGGGCACCTCGTACCGGGTGCAGTTCGTGGGGCGCAACCACTCGGGGCACCACATCCCCTTCTGGGAGAGCGAGGTGCAGACCAACGGCACCCGTGAGTGAACCCCCCGCACCCCCAAAGTGCTGCGGGAGGGAGGGGGACCCCAAACCCGCCAGTTCATGCCTTGAAATGGCGTTTTCCTGCCCCAAACCCGCCTTTCCCCCCCACCAAACCACCTCTTCCCCTGGAGCATCCCTCAAACTGCTCGTGGGGGTTCCCCAAACCCCCTTCTCACCCCCCCCCGTGCTCTCCCCAGTGCTGCCCCGTCCCGCGAGCGGCTTTGCCACCGAGGGCTGGTTCATCGGCTTCGTGAGTGCTGTGGTGCTGCTGCTGCTGCTGCTCCTCATCCTCTGCTTCATCAAGCGCAGCAAGGGGGGCAAGTATTCGGGTGAGCCCAGAGCCCCCCCGGGGTCCCCCGGACCCCCCCCCCCGGGCCCCCCCGGGCCCCCCCGGGCCCTCATCACCCGGGTACAGGCCTTGAGGCAATTGTGTGGTCCTTGAGGTTATGGGGGGCCACAAAGTGATTGAGGGGGACTCAGGTGACAGGGGGGTCTTCAGGAGATGGAGGTGTCTTTGTGGGGGGAATGGCTGCTCCTTGGGGGGTGTGTGGGGTACCCACAGCTGCAGGGAGGCTGGGGGGTGGTCCCCACAGCATTGGGGGATGACAACTCTGGGGGTGCTGCCCCCCCAAGCGTGCTGTGCCCCCCAGTGAAGGACAAGGAGGACACACAGGCAGACTCGGAGGCCCGGCCCATGAAGGACGAGACCTTTGGGGAGTACAGGTGGGTGGGGGGCTAATGGGGGGGTATTTAATGGGGGGCGAGTGTGGGGGGGCTGGGTTTGTCATGAGGGGGCAGAGCTTCTGGGCACCTGTTGCTTCCCCTTCCCTTCATTAATTGCCCCCCCTAATTGCTCGCCCCCCTGTTAATTAATTGCCCCCACCCAATGCTTTTGCCCCCGGCTGCTCTGTCTCTCCCCACTGCCACTGGGGCTCATGCAGGTCCTTGGAGAGGTAAGGGGGGGGTGGGAATGGGGCAGGGGGGTCACAGCACCCCTGGGGAGTGCTGTGGGGGGACCTTTTGCGAGGGGGATCTTGATGTGTGTGTACCCCCTTGCAGCAGCCACCTGCATGTCCCAGTGCCCCCCATCCCACCCTGAGTCCACAGCATGGGAGGGGGCCAGTGGGGTGGTGGTGGTGGGATGGGGTGCCAATGGGGGTGTAATGGGTGTCAGTCAGTGCAAATGGGGTATTAGTGGCTATCAGTGGGTATCACTGGGTATCAGTGGGTATCACTGGGTACCAGTGGGTGTCAATGGGTATCAATGGGGTGTCACTGGGTGTTGATGGGGTGTCACTGGGGTATCACTAGGTATCAATGGGTCTCAATGGGATATCAATGGGTATCACTGGGTGTCAGTGGGGTATCACTAGGTATCAGTGAGTCTCAATGGGTGCCAATGGGGGTCACTGGCTATCAGTGGGTGTCAGTGGGTATCAATGGGTGTCACTGGGTATCACTGGGCATCAATGGGTGTCAATGGGGTGTCAATGGGTATCAAGGGGTGTCGATGGGGTGCCAATGGGTGTTACTGGGTGTCAGTGGTGTCAGTGGGGTATCAGTGGATATCAGTGGGTGTAAGTGGGTATCAGTGGGTATCAATGGGTATCAATGGATGTCACTGTTTTGTCAATGGGGTATCAATGGGTGCCACTGGGTATCAGTGGGTACCAATTGGTGTCAATGAATGGATGTCACTGGGTGTCAGTGGGTATCACTGGGTACCAATGGGTGTCGCTGGGTGCCGCGGGCAGTGACGGCGAGGAGAAGGCGTCGCGCAGCTCGGGGCGGTCGCTGGGCGCGGCGGGCGCGGCGCTGGGCAGTGACGACAGCCTGGCGGGCTACGGCGGCAGCGCGGACGTGCAGTTCAACGAGGACGGCTCCTTCATCGGGCAGTACAGCGGCACCCGCGGCTCCGGGCCCGCCAGCCCCGGCGCCGCCGCGCCCCTCGACTAGGGGGGACCCCTGGGATGGGGCCCCCCCGTGGCGTTGGGGAGCACCCATTGCATTGGGGACCTCCTAATGGCATTGGGGGACACCCATTGCACTGGGGGCCCCACCCCCCTGCACTGCGGGAGTCCCCCCATGACACTGGGGGGTTCCCATGGTGCTGGGGACCCCACAGCATTGAGAGAGCCCCGCAGCATCATGGGAGCCCCTTCATGGCATTGCCCCCCCCCCCCCCCCCGCCCTCAGCTCTGGTAACCCCCCAGAGCCCCCCCCTTGCAAAGGGATCTCCCCAAAGCCAAAGGGGACCCCAACCCCCTCCTTAACCCCCACTAAGGGCCCCCCCCCCACCCCCATCCACTGCCAAAGGGGGGGATCCCGCAGTGCCACCCCTGTGCAATGGGGGGGTTGGGGGGGGGCAGAGCACCCCAAAAGCGCCTCACGGGGGAGGCGGGGACCCCCGCTGGATGTTGCCAAACCCCAAGGCCCCCCCGCGGCCGGGGATCTCTTTAGACCAAATTGAGGGGGGGGTGGTTTTGCTCCCCATATTCCAGCCCCCACCCCCCCATAACCCTTCAGGGCCCTCGGGGTTTGGGGGGTCCCCGACGCCCCCCCATCTCTGAATGCATCTCACGGCGAGGCCTTGGCATCACCCCGCGGCCCCCCCCGGCCCCCAAACACCCCCGCCCCCCAAAACCCCCCGCCCCTCCCCCCCCCGTGCGCTGGTGTGTAGCTGCGTTAGCCCCCCGCCCCCGCAACCCCTCCAAGGAAAAGAAGTGGAAACGGCCCAAAAACGCCCCCAAAACGGCCCCAACCGGTCGGAAGCAGCCGCCGATCCCTGTGTGCCCCCCTCCTTCCCCCCTTCAGGCCCCGGCGCGACGCGAAACGGGCGGAAAACGGGAACAAACGATGAAATAAAGGAGGAACCTGTGAGAATGAGGATGGGGGCGATGGGGGGGGGGGTATAGGGGATGGGGGGGGTCTATCTATAGGGGGCTTGGGAGAGTGTGATGCTCCGGGGCAGGGTGTGTGGGTGTGGGGTGTGGGTGTGTGTGTGTGTGTGTGTGTGTGTGTGTGTGTGTACACAATTATAGTGAGTCGGAGTCAGGTCTATAGGGGGCTGTGGAGGTTTGGGAGCCTCTAGGAGACTGGGAGGAGGCTATAGGGGATCTATAGAGAGTGTATGGAGGGGCAGGGGGGCTATAGAGGAATGTGGAGGGGCTGTCAGGGGATGGACATGGGGGACTATAGGGAATCTATAGAGGATCTGTAGGGGATCGATAGAGAGCGTATGGAGGGGCTATAGCGGTCCATAGGGGGATGTAGGGGCGTCCATGGGGGGCTATGGAGGGGGCGTGGCCTCTCGGAGGGGGCGTTGCCAGCCCCGCCGCCCCTCCCGCCGCCATCGCCGCGGAGCCACCACCCGCCGCCGCCGCCGGCGGAACCGGAGCGAACCGGCCCGAACCGGAACCGGAACCGGCGCGGCCCCGCCGGACCCTCCCGCCGCGATGGGGGCCGGGGGGGCCCGGGGGGGCCGCTGCTGCCACCGCCCCCCCCCGCAGCGCGGCGGGGCCCGGGGCTGAACATCGCGGGGCCGCGGGTTCGAGACCGGGCGCGGCGGGGCTGGGCCGGGCCCGCCATGGGCTGCAACATGTGCGTGGTGCAGAAACCGGAGGAGCAGCACCGGGTGATGCTGCAGGTACCGGCGGGACAGGGGGAACACCGGGGCGTGGGGCTGTGGGGAACGGGGCTATAGGGGTGTGGGGCTATAGATAACGGGGGCTATAGGGGGTGTGGGGCTATGGGGAACGGGGCTATAGGAGGTGTGGGGATGGGGAACGGGGGCTATAGGAGGTATTGGGAGGGGCTATAGGGCCAGGTAAGGGCGCTATAGGGTGTGGGGACAGGTAATGGTGGGTAGAGGGACAGGTGATGGAGCCGTAGGGGTGTGGGGATGGGTGATGAGAGCTATGTGGCCAGGAAAGGGGTGTGGGGGGACACATATAGGAGTTGTGGGGTGGGTAAGGGGCTATGGGGTGTTGGGGGGGGTCTGTATGGACAAATAATGGGGGCTGTAGGGGTGTGTGGGGGGACACAGCCGGAGCTATAGGGACAGATAATGGTGCTATAGAGGCTGTGGGGATGGGTGATGAGGGGTATAGGGACAGCAATGGGGTCCATGGGGAGGGGCAAGGGGGTCTATGGGGCAGGGGTCTGGGCTGTGGGGGCCGGGGGGGGGCGTCCTGCCACACCCATGGGGGGGTCTCCCCCTTCCTCTGGCCCCGCCCACCTCCCTCCGGTTTCCATGGCAACCGTTGCGGGCGAGAAGCAGACAATGGAGGGGGGGCGGCAGCCTCGGGGGGGGGAGTGAGGGGCGGGGTGGGAGCGGCGATGGGGGGTTTGGGGGCTCCGTGGGGGGGTTTGGGGGCTCCGTGGGGGGGGTTGGGGGCTCCGTGGGGGGTGTCTGTGCCCTGACCCCCCCGCGCACCCCCAGGTGAGCGGGAGGGAGGGGCCGCGGCGGGAGCCGGCCCGGGGGGGCCCGCGGGGGTCGAAGGAGCCGCTGGTGCTGCACGTGCTGCGCCGCAGCCCCCGGGGCCGCCCCCCTCCCGCCGCAGGGGCGGCCCCCTGGGGGGGACCGGGACCTCCCCCCCACCGCCCCCAGGCCCCACCGTGGGGCTGGTGGACAGCGGGACCCAGACGGACATCAGCTTCGGGGGGGCCGAGCCGTGAGTGACCCCCCCATGGGGCATCACCCCATAGGGACCCCCCAGAAACCCTGGGGAACCCCCTGTCCCTATGCAGGGCGGTGTAGATCCCCCCCCCGGCACCCATCTATGGGGTACCTCACGCATAGGGCCCCTCCTGGACCCCCAGGGTCTTCCCAACCCATTCTGTACCCTCATAGATGCTTCTGCCCCCCATAGACACTCCCGAGGGCCCTTGGGGACCCCCATGGAGCCCCCCCAGCCGCCCTCTGGAAGCCCACCCTCCTTCTTTAGGACCCCCAACCATCCCCCTCTCCCTTATCCACATTTCTTTACCCCCCCAATGTCCCTTAGAGCCCTTTAGACCCCCCCCCCCCAAGAGACCCTTTGGGACCCCCTGCCCCCAATGCTTCTTCCCCTCCAGCCCCCCACTGCCCCATGACTATTTCGACCCCACGGACCTGGGGGACCCCGAGCGCCCTGAGGAGCTGGAGTACGAGGTGAGCCCCTGACGCTGGGGGGGGGGGGGCTGGGTCTGCTGGGCGGGGGGGCTCTGGTACATTGGGGATCCCCCTATCCATGGTCCCCGCAGGAGGTGGAGCTGTACAAGAGCAGCCACCGGGACAAGCTGGGCCTCACCGTCTGCTACCGCACGGATGGCGAGGAGGACGCTGGCATCTACGTGGGGGAGGTATTTGGGGAGGGGGGGTCCCCACTGTGCCTAATGCGGGGGGGGCTGGAGTACCCCCATGGAGAGGAGCCTCATGGGGTAATTGGGTCAATGGGGCTGGAGGGGGAGGGTTTGGGGGGGGCACTGAGGGTGCTGACTGCCCCATTTGTGTGCCCCCCCCAGGTGAACCCCAACAGCATCGCGGCCAAGGATGGGCGCATCCGCGAGGGCGACCGCATCATCCAGGGTGGGGTTTGGGGGGGCGCGCATGGGGGGGGGGGGGGTGTCATTGCCCCCATTGATCGCTATGAACCTCTCCCCCCACCAAGATAACGGGGTGGAGGTGCAGGACCGGGAGGAGGCCGTGGCCTTCCTAACCCAGGAGCAGCAAACGAATATCTCCCTCCTGCTCGCCCGGCCTGAGAGCCAGGTACGGCCCTGGGGGGGGTCCATGGGGGTCTATGAGGAGGTCTGTGGGGGGGTCTAGAGGGGGGCCTGCAGGGGGGTCTGTGGGGGGTCTAGAGGGGAGTCTATAGGGGGTCTTTGGGACGTCTATGGGGGGTCTGTAGAGGGGTCTATACGGGGTCTATGGGGGTTCTTTAGGACGTCTATCGGGGGTCTGTAGGGGGTCTACAGGGGGGTCTGTAGGGGTCTATGTGGGTGCTGAGCCCGTCCTGCAGCGCTGGAAGGACAGTGACCGCGAGGATTTCCTCGATGACTTCGGCTCTGATGAGGACGGGGACGTGAGGCAGCGCCGGCCCTGGAGCCCCCCCGGACAGGTACCGGGGCTGGGGGGAGGCAGGAGGGGGCTACGGGGGTGGAGAGGGAGCTTGGTGAGGGGGGGAGCAGGTGTACGGGGGCGACCCATGGAAGCGGTGGGGTCAGCGGGGGTGTTAAGGGGATGCAGATGGCCCGGGGGGGCAATGGGGGGGCCGGTGCTGCCGTGACACCCCCGCACCCCCTCCCCGCAGCCCCCCAGCCCCGCCACCCCCTGCGCGCGGGGGGCGGAGCCGGACAGCGGCGTGGGGCGCACGGACGAGAGCACCCGCAACGAGGAGAGCTCCGAGCACGACCCGAGGGGGGAGGAGGGCGACGGGACCCCCCCCGCGCCCGGCGCCGCGGCGCCCCCCCCCCGGCCCGGCCCGGAGCTGGAACCGGAGCCGCAGCCGGGGGCAGCCCTCGGGGTCGCGCCGGGCCCGCGGGAAGACCCGGCCCTGGCTCCGGATCGGGGCTGAGCCCCGGGGCAAGGCCCGGCTCCGGGTCCGGCGCGGGCCGCGGGGCGGGTGGAAGAGCCGGAGCTGGATCCGGGCCCGGGGTAATGCCCGGCGCCAGAGCGGGGTCCGCGCCAAGACCCGGCGCGGGCTGCGCGGCGCCGCCCGGAGCGGGGCTCTCCCCGGGGGCCGCGGCGGCGCCGCTGGTCCCGGTCGAGCTGCGGCGCTACCGGCAGCTGCGGGGCCGGCGGGGCGCGGCGGGGCCGGGCGGCGGCGCGGAGCTGGCCCTGCTCGGGGAGGAGCTGCGGCTCCTGGAGCTGCGGTGCCGGCAGCTGCTGCGGGCGCAGGCGGCGGAGCGGCTGCGGGAGCGCGGCCTCGCCGACATCTCGGAGGCGCCGGAGCGGGACAGCACCAGCGCCTACAACACGGGCGAGAGCTGCCGCAGCTCCCCCCCGCCGCGGGGCTGGGCCGTGCCGGGCGCCGGGGCCGGGGCTGCCCGCGGCGGGGGCCCGCGGGGGAAGCGGCCGGGCCGGGATCGGCTGCTCAAGGCCCGCGCCATCAAGATCTGGAGGAGCGCGGCGGCTCCACCACGGACGACGACGCCCGCAGCGAGCTCAAGACCGGGCGCTACTGGAGCCGCGAGCAGCGCAAGCAGCACCTGGCCCGGGCGCGGGAGCAGCGGCGGCGGCGGGAGCTGCTCCTGCAGGGCCGGGCCGAGCCGCCGGGACCGGGAGCCGGGGCCGGGGCTCCGGAGCCGCCCCCCCTGGCCGGGGCCGCCCGGCGCGGGCCCCGCAAGCGGAGCCGCCGCATCCTCGATAACTGGGTCACGATCCAGGAGATGCTGGCGCGGGGCGAGGGCGGGCGCGGTGGGGGAGCCCCCTGCTCTCGGTCACCACCGTGTAACGGGGACCCCGCCCCCATTGTGCTGTGGGGGGAACCCTCCAGCTCTTGGTGCTACAGCGGGAAACCGCCTCCCCCCAGCCCCCTCCCCTCATTTGATGGGGGCCTCCCCTAAGCACAATGGGGGCTGAGCGCCCCTCCGCCCCCTCATCATCGTCTGTGAATGTGAAGTTTTGGGTTTTTATAGTTTTTTTTTATAGCCGCCCCCCCCCCCCCCCCCCCGCGGTGACCTCCCCTATTCCCCCTGCCCCCCAAACCTGAGGTGCTGCCCTTCCCTCCCCCCCGTTTCCTGCCCCGCCCCCACCCTGTCTGTACAGCCCCGGGGGGGGGGAGGGGCCACGTTGGGAATAAAGCAAAGCCTCATTTTTACTCATTTCACCCCAGTTGTGAAGCCGCATCTATGGGGGGTCCAAGCCCCTCCCCCATTTACGCCCCCCCCCCCCCCCCCAAACCAGAGCAATGCAGTGGGGAGGGGCTCCACAGACCTTTATTTGTGCCAGGACCCCCGAAAGCAACACGGGGCCTCCCCCAAGTCCTCCCACCCGCCAGAGGGCGCACTGGGAGGTGGGGAACCGCACCCACCTGGAGGAGCGCCCCCCTCCCTGCAAGTGCGCCCCCTGGCGGTGCTCGCTGCCGGGAGGTCCCACAGCGGGGTTTGGGGGGCTCAGGCCGCGTGCAGCGCCCTCCAGCGGTCCAGCGGCCCCCGGCACGGGACGTACTTGACGCCGCAGCCGTCGGGGATGAGGCGCTTCTGAGCCACCATCTCCTCAAAGGCGTCGGCGTTGAACTTGGTGAAGCCCCACTTCTTGGAGATATGGATCTGGGGGGGGGGAAGGGCAGGGACGGGGTCAGGGGCACCCCAGAACCTCCCCTTCACCCCATGAGATATGCCTCAAGCTCCCACCCCCCCCGCACGTTTGGGGGGCACATGGGTCCCCCCTTCTGGTGTGTGTCCCATCCACTGGGAGCACTGGGTGGAGCTATAGGACGCCATGGGATAACCTATGGGGAACACCGTATGGAAGACACCACAGGACGTCCTGCGGGGGACACCATGGCATGGGGCACACTGTATGGAAGACACCACGAGACATCCCCACCAATCAACATCTGCGCCCCCCCGAGTCTCCCTTCCCTGAAGAGCAGCTCCTGGGGTGACACGAACACCCCCACTCCACTGGGGACACAGGGATCCCTTCCCCATTGGGGACACTGAGCCCGCCCCCATTGGGGTCCCCCCTCCCGGTACCTTCTGGCGCCCGGGGAACTTGAACTTGGCGCGGCGCAGGGCCTCCACCACGTGCTCCTTGTTCTGGGCCTTGGTGCGGGATGGACATGATGACCTGGCCGATGTGCACCCGCGCCACCGTCCCCTGCGGCTTCCCGAAGGCGCCGCGCATCCCGGTCTGCAGCCTGGGGGGGGATGATGGGGGTGAGGGGGGGCACCCCCACACCCAGCCCTAGGGAGGGAGGGGAAGGGCTGTGCCCCCGGCCCCTTGGAGCACCCCACTGAGGAGGGGGCAGTGGGGTGCCCTACACAGCCGGGGGGGTTGCTGTGCGCAGCCATTGCACGCCGGGACCCCACCGGGGGGGGGCCACGGCCGGCTTAATTAGCTGCGGGGGAGGGGGGGGGGCAGGAGGACCCCCGGGGGTACCCCCATAGGGAGACAGGGGCATCCCCATATTGCAACGCAGCCAATGGAGTTTGCATCCCAAAGTCCCCCCCAGGAATCCACCGCAGCAGCGGGGGTAGCCCCCCCTTTGAGAAATCCCCCCAACGTCCCAGTGGAGCCCTGACTCCAGAAACACCCCAAAACTGGGGGCAGAATGGGGGGGTTCGATACGGGGGTGGCATTGAGCTCCCGATGGGATGAGGATGGAGGCACCACGGCACATCCTGCCTTCCCCCCCCCCCGGTTGTGGGCCCCCCTCCGGTGTGGGGGTTCACCCTGACCTGTCGGCCCCCGCGCACGAGAGCATCTTGTTGATGCGGATGACGTGGAAGGGGTGCAGGCGCACGCGGATGTGGAACCCGTCCTTCCCGCAGCTCTTCACCATGTACTTGTTGGCGCAGATCCGGGCGGCCTCCAGCGCTGGGGGGCACAAACACCATGGGAGGGGTCACCCTATGCCCCAGGCTCACCCCACAGAGCCCCCCCCGTGACCCACACGCACCTTCGGAGCTGAGCTGCTCGTACTCATCTGACACCATGTGCCCGCAGAGCGGGAACTCGTCCACCTTCGCCTTCTTGCGGCCCAGGTCGAAGATGCGGATCTTGGGGTCTATGGAGGGGAAACGGGGGGATCAATGGGGGGCGATGAAGGGGGCCCGCAGGAGAGGGTTTTTGGGGGGCGTGTTGGGGACTCACCGGGGACCCCTCTGCAGAAGCGGGACTTGGGGTACGGTTTGTTCTTGCAGTACCTGTAACTGGGGGGGAGGTGATGATTAATGGGGGAACCCCAAAACCACCCCCTCAATGACGTCACCACCCCCTCCGCGCTGACGTCACGCGCCTCACCATCGCGCCGGGCGGCGGCCCATGGCGGCGGCTCCGGGACCTGCGGGAGAGAACGGGGAGGGTTGGGGGGGAGGGGCGGGGGGGAGGGGCGGGAAGCCCCCCATGACCCCGCCATGACCCCGCCATGACCCCCCCCGGCCCGGCCCGGCGCGGAGCGGAGCTCACCTCGCCCAGCTCCAAAGAGAGGGCGGCGGCGCCTGCGCGCGGCTTTTATAGTATCCCCGCCCCTCGGCTTCCGGCCACGCCCCCCCGCAGCACCGCACTTCCGGCGGCTTCTGGCCGCCCCTGGAGGAGCCGCTGGGTGCCGGGGCCGCAGGGGGGGCAGCAGGGGGCTATGGGGGGCTATGGGGGGCTATAGGGTGCCGTACGTAAGCATATAGGGGGCTATGGGGGGCTATAGGGTGCCGTACGTATGCATATAGGGGGCTATGGGGGGCTATAGGGTGCCGTACGTAAGCATATAGGGGGCTGTGGGGGGCTATGGGGGGCTCCGGCGCCGTTCACCCACCAGAGGCGGCGGCGCGGCTCCAACGCCCTCCCCCACCGTAGAGCGTCAGGAGCCAATCAGAGAGCGCGGCCCTTGAGCGACAGGAAGTGGGCGCATGCGCAGAGGGGAGGGATTTGTGTGCGGCTGCGTCCTGGCAGCTGATTTGATGGCGTCGATAACGTCACTCGTGGCATTTGCATGGCACCGCCCCCCTCGGTGTGGGCGGGGCCTCGTTTGCATAAGTCCTTATATGGGGAAGGGAGCACCCGCAGTCTCTGCCTCAGCCCCATATGGGGGGTGTCCCCCCATAGATGGGGTCCCCCGGTGCCCTCCCGTCCACCCGCATCCATAGGTGCCCCCCCGCCATAGGGGTCTCCCCCATCCCCCCATCACATACACCCCTCCCACCCTACCCCTACAGCTCGCCCCCCTCTATAGCCCCCATAGGCCCCCCTCCATGCTCCCCCCATACAGCTCCCCCCATAGGCTCCCCCCGTCCATCCTCATTTCCGTGTCCCACCCCCTGTATAGGCCCCCCATAGGTCCCTCCCCCCTGTATACAGTCCCCCTTTGCCCCTATAGACCCCCCATTGGAGGCAGCTGAAGCAGAACGAGTTTATTGGGGGGGGGAGGGGCCCCCCCGCGGCTGGTACAAAATTCCAATAAAATAAAAAAAAATGGGGGAGAGGCGGGGGCCAAAAAAGTGGGGGGGGGCGGGAAAGTGGTGGTGGGGGAGGGGCGGCAGCAGTGGGGCCCAAAGCAGGACCCTGGGTTGGGGGTGGGGGCATCATAGTGGGAGGGGGTCCCCGAAGTGGGGCTGTGTCACCTCGAAGTGGGTCTGGGGGTCCTCATAGTGGGTCTCGGTCCCCCCATAGCAGGTCTGTGGGTCCCATAGTGGGTTGAAGACCCCCCATAGTGGGTCTGTGGGCCCCATAGTGGGTTGATGCCCCTCCATAGCAGGTCTGTGGGTCCCATAGCAGGTTGAAGCCCCCCCATAGTGGGTCTGTGGGTCCCATAGTTTGTTGATGCCCCCCCATAGCGGGTCTGTGGGTCCCATAGTGGGTCTGTGGGTCCCACAGCGGGTCTGTGGGTCCCATAGTGGGTTGAAGCCCCCCCATAGCAGGTCTGGATGCCCCCAGCTGGGTCTGGGTCCCCCCCCGAAGCGGGTCAGGTGCCCCCCCCCATTGGGTCTGTGGGTCCCAGAGTGGATCTGTGGGTCCCGGAGCGAGTTAAAGCCCATCCCCCCCCATGGCGGGTGTGGGGGTGGCCGTGGGGGGGCGCGGGCCCCCCCTAGGGCACGGTGACGCGGAAGGGGCTGTTGGGGACGTGGTGCTCGCCCCACTTGATGACCAGGAGGTGGTCGCCGCGCTCCCGCAGGACGTAGCTGACGTTGTAGAGCTGGTTCCCCAGGTGCTTCACCACGATCTCCTCGCAGGGGCAGCGCGGGCCCTGCACCCCCACCAGCAGCATGTTGTTCCCTATGGAATGGGGGTGTCAGTGGGGGAAGACACACTTGTGCCATTCAGAACCGCCCCCCAAAACAGGAGCTGAGACCCCCCAAAAAGCAGCTCCCCCACCCCCAAAAGGAGGGCTCAGGGGGGCTCTTGGGGGCTGGCAGTGGGTGGGGGTGTTGGAGGGAGGGTGTCACCTATGAGGGGGTCATTGGGGGGGTCCCGAGGGGGGTGTATCACCTATGGAGGGAGGTCACTGGGGGCTCACACAGGGGTACCACCCCATGGGAGGGGCATTGGGGGGTGCCAGTGGGGCGGGATGACCCAGGGGGGTCCCTGGGGGTGTCATTGGGGGGGTCCCATGGTTGTATCACCCATGAGAGGGGCAATTATAGAGGGTATCAGCCATAGGGGGGATCACTGGGGTGGGTATCACCCATGGGGGGGGTCTCTGGGGTGGGTATCACCCATGGGGGTGCCATGGGAGGGTCCCTGGGGGGGTATCACCCATGGTTTGCCATGGGGGAGCCCGCACCGGCGCGGCTGCAGTCCAGGCTGAAGCTGTTCTTCTGCCCCACGAAGGCTTTGCTGAGCCCCAGCCCTTTGGCCACCACGCGCCCGGCGTCCGAGCCCGGGGGGGCAGCTCCGGGGGGGGCCCCCCCCACGGCTGCTGCGGCTGCGGCCCCCCCGCCGGTGTCCACCAGCACCGAGGAGCTCTCGCGGAGGCTGTGGCTGCTCACGAGGCGCGGGCCTGGGGGGGGCAGAGCACCCCATAGTGACCAAAACTGAGCCGAACTGAGCCAAAATGACCAAACCTGACCCAAACTGAGCCAAATTGACTCAAACTGACCCAAACTGAGCCAAAACTGACCCAAACCACCCAAAACTGAGCCGAACTGAGCCAAAATGACCAAACCTGACCCAAACTGAGCCAAATTGACTCAAACTGACCCAAACTGAGCCAAAACTGACCCAAACCACCCAAAACTGACCCAAACTGAGCCAAAATGACCCAAACTGAGCCAAAACTGACCCAAACCACCCAAAACTGACCCAAACTGAGCCAAAACTGAGCCAAAATGACCCAAACTGAGCCAAACCAAGCCAAAACTGAGCCACACTGAGCCAAACTGACCCAAACTGAGCCAAAAGTGACCCAAACCACCCAAAACTGACCCAAACGGAGCCAAGTGACCCAAACGAACCCAAACCTGCCCCAATGCACCCCAACAGTGCTCACTGTACCCCAACACTGCCCAAATTACCCCAAAACTGACCAAACCCCCCAAACCCGCCCCTTGCACCCCAAACCCCACCCGTTACCCCCCCTCAGCCTCTCGTTACCAGTGATCTTGGCCTTGAAGGGGCTGCCCACGATGTGGTGGGGGCCCCCGAACTTGATGGAGATGAGGTAGCTGCCGGGGGCCATGGGGGTGTAGCACACGCGGTAGCCCTCGGCGCACTCCCTGCACTCCATCTTCACCTTGGACGGGCCCTCGATGGTGACGGCCAGAGCCCCCGGGCCCGCCTTGCACGTGTTCACCACGAACTCTGCCGGGGAGCCTGGGGGGGCAAACGCAGTGAGGGACCCCGGAACCAGCCCCAGGCAGCCCCGAACTGACCCAAACAGCCCCCAAACTGCCTGAAACAGCCCCAAAACTGCCCCAAACAACCCGAAACTGCCTGAGAACCAGCACCCAAACAGCCCCCAAACTGCCTGAAACAGCCCCAAAACTGCCCCAAACAACCCGAAACTGCCCGAGAACCAGCACCCAAACAGCCCCCAAACTGCCTGAAACAGCCCCAAAACTGCCCCAAACAACCCGAAACTGCCCGAGAACCAGCACCCAAACAGCCCCCAAACTGCCTGAAACAGCCCCAAAACTGCCCCAAACAACCCGAAACTGCCCGAGAACCAGCACCCAAACAGCCCCCAAACTGCCTGAAACAGCCCCAAAACTGCCCCAAACAACCCGAAACTGCCCGAGAACCAGCACCCAAACAGCCCCCAAACTGCCTGAAACAGCCCCAAAACTGCCCCAAACAACCCGAAACTGCCCGAGAACCAGCACCCAAACAGCCCCGAACTGACCCAAACAGCCCCCAACTGCCTGAGACAGCCCCAAAACTGCCCCAAACAACCCGAAACTGCCCGAGAACCAGCACCCAAACAGCCCCGAACTGACCCAAACAGCCCCCAACTGCCTGAGACAGCCCCAAAACTGCCCCAAACAACCCGAAACTGCCCGAGAACCAGCACCCAAACAGCCCCCAAACTGCCTGAAACAGCCCCAAAACTGCCCCAAACAACCCAAAACTGCCCGAGAACCAGCACCCAAACAGCCCCCAAACTGCCTGAAACAGCCCCAAAACTGCCCCAAACAACCCGAAACTGCCCGAGAACCAGCACCCAAACAGCCCCCAAACTGCCTGAAACAGCCCCAAAACTGCCCCAAACAACCCAAAACTGCCCGAGAACCAGCACCCAAACAGCCCCGAACTGACCCAAACAGCCCCCAACTGCCTGAGACAGCCCCAAAACTGCCCCAAACAACCCGAAACTGCCCGAGAACCAGCACCCAAACAGCCCCGAACTGACCCAAACAGCCCCCAACTGCCTGAGACAGCCCCAAAACTGCCCCAAACAACCCGAAACTGCCCGAGAACCAGCACCCAAACAGCCCCCAAACTGCCTGAAACAGCCCCAAAACTGCCCCAAACAACCCCAAAACCAGCACCCAAACAGCCCCAAACCATCCTGAATCACAATGAGACACCCCGAAACCACACAGAGGGCCCCAGCTGCATGAGGCCCGCTATGAGGCCGCAGCGCCCCGAACCCCCTAGGGAGCCCCCAGACCCCCCATAGAGCCCGGCTGGACCCCCCAGCTCCCCCGCGCGGCCCCTACCTGTGGTGCCGCCCTCCAGGCCCGGGCCGTAGGCGGACACGAGCCCCGGGTCCCCGGCCTGGCCCGGCTCCCCCACGCGCACCTTGAAGGGGCTCCCGGGGATGTGCGAGCCCTCGAACTTGACGTCGATGGAATAGACCCCGTTCTCCCGCGGGATGAAGCGCACGGCGTACTTGTCTGGGGGGCAAGGGGGTCAGGGATCCCATAGACAGCAATGGACCCCACAGACACCACTGAGACCCCATAGACATCAATGGACCCCACAGACATCAGTGAATGCCATAGACATCAACGGACCCCATAGACAACAATGGACCAATGGGATTAACCACACGGTGTGCTTGCCTGGGGGCAATGGGGTCAGGGACCCCATAGACATCAATGTACCCCATAGACATCAAGGGACCCCATAGATATCAGGGAGCCCCCATAGATATCAATGAAACAACATAGACACCAGTGAAACCCCATAGACATCAAAGAAACTCCACAGACATCAATGAGACCGCATAGACATCAGTGAACCTAACACCCCCTGGGGACCCCCAGACCAAACGAACAGGGCTTGAGGGAGCTCCTAAAGTGGGGGAGACCCCAAAATCCCCCTCCTAAAGTTCAGGGGGGGGCCCTAAATCCTCCCTCCAGCCCACAGGGGCTGTCCCCCCACCCCATGAGCCAGAAGTGGTTCAGCCGCAGCGGAGGGCAGAGGGGTTTGGGCAAGCCCATTGTGGGGCCCGGGGGGGCCCTCACCTTCGGTGACCTCGGTGATGTGGCACTCCTCCAGCGCCCCCGAGGGGCTGTGCACTTTGGCGTCCAGCGCGCCCTTGGCCCCATTGAGGCTCACGGCGAAGGACGCGGGTTGGTGAACCTTGAGCCCTGATTCCTGGGGGGGCAGAGACCGTCAGCGGGGGGGGGGGCACCCCCAAACGGGGGGGCACCCCCAAGTGCGGGGGCAGGGGGATAGAACCTGGCATTGCCCCCCCCAGCATCAAACCCCAGCTTAAAGGGGTTTAACCCCCCCCAGTAGGATGGGGGCAGCTGCACCCCAAAACCTGGGGTGCAAATTAATCACCCCAGGGAGGTGACACCCCCAAATCCTCACCCCAAATAACGTGGGGGGAGGGGAACTCACCCCGTTTTCGAGGTGCCCCAAGGTTTGGGGGTGTCGGGACCCCCTCCATACCCCACTTACCTTATGGGGCTGGGGGGCTTAGTGGGAGCGAGTGGGGGACCCCGGTCCCGCTTTGGGGGTGCAGGGGGGGTTTGGGGGGCCGCTCACTCCCACTAAGACTCCCCCAGCCCCAGGGTGACCCCCAAAGTGGGGGTGGGGCTGTTAATAGCCTTTAAAAGAGACACGAGAGAAACCCCCAGGGAACCCCCCGGTTTGGGGGTGGGGCAGCCTGGCCAGCGCAGGGACCCCAAAACCAGCTCCAGCCCCCCCGGACCTGACTGAGGCTCTGCTGTGCCCCAAACCCCACTAAGCCCCACTATGGGGCTAGGATGACCCTAAAAGCACCCCAAACCCTCCTAACCCTGCTCCGTGCCTCCACTGTCCCCCTAAACTCCCTGATGTGGCTCCATTTTCCCCCTGAGACCCCCTTAAATCCCTCTAAATCCCTCTATACGGCTCCACTACCACCTCATACCCCCTGAGACCCCCCTATACAGCTCCATTATCCCCCTAAGACCCCCTTGAGCCCCCTGAACCCCTCTATGTGGCTCCATTATCCCCCTGAGACACATCCTAAATCCTCCTATAGGCTCCATATCCCCATAAACCTCCCTGTTTGGCTCCATTGTCGCTTAGACCCCCTAAACACCCCTATACGGCTCCATATCCCCCTTGGACCTACTTCCCTATCTGATTCCATACCTCCCTTAGACTGCCTACCCCTCCCCCATTTGGCTCCATTGTGCTGCTTAGACCCCCCTAAACCCCACTATTTGTCTCCATATCCCCCTTGGACCCCCCATAACCCCTCTATCTGGCTCCATATCCCTCTCAGACCCCCCTAACCTGGCTCCATATCCCCCTTGGGCCCCCCTAACCCCCCCTACCTGGCTCCATATCCCCCTCAGACCCCCCTAACCCCCCCATCTGGCTCCATATCCCCCTCGGGCCCCCCTAACCCCCCCTATCTGGCTCCATATCCCCCTCAGACCCCCCTAACCCCCCCTACCTGGCTCCATATCCCCCTCGGACCCCCCATAACCCCCCTATCTGGCTCCATATCCCCCTCGGCCCCCCCTAACCCCCCCTATCTGGCTCCATATCCCCCTCAGACCCCCCTAACCCCCCCTACCTGGCTCCATATCCCCCTCGGACCCCCCATAACCCCCCTATCTGGCTCCATATCCCCCTCAGACCCCCCCTAACCCCCCCTACCTGGCTCCATATCCCCCTCAGACCCCCCTAACCCCCCCTACCTGGCTCCATATCCCCCTCAGACCCCCCTAACCCCCCCTATCTGGCTCCATATCCCCCTCAGACCCCCCTAACCCCCCCTACCTGGCTCCATATCCCCCTCGGACCCCCCTAACCCCCCCTATCTGGCTCCATATCCCCCTCGGGCCCCCCTAACCCCCCCTATCTGGCTCCATATCCCCCTCGGACCCCCCATAACCCCCCTATCTGGCTCCATATCCCCCTCGGACCCCCCATAACCCCCCTATCTGGCTCCATATCCCCCTCGGACCCCCCATAACCCCCCTATCTGGCTCCATATCCCCCTCGGACCCCCCATAACCCCCCTATCTGGCTCCATATCCCCCTCGGACCCCCCATAACCCCCCTATCTGGCTCCATATCCCCCTCGGACCCCCCATAACCCCCCTATCTGGCTCCATATCTGCCTCAGACCCCTCTAGCCCCCCAGTCCCTCTCCGTGTCCCCCCCGGCGCTGGCCCTGCCGCCCCCGGTGCTGGGGGGGTTTCTCCCGGTGCCTCACCTGAAGGCTAGAAACAGTGAGGCGCCGAGCAGCATCGCAGGGCGCCGCCGCCGCCACCACGAACGGGCTCTCGGGGATGTGCTCCTCGTTGAACTTCACCGACACCTCGTAGTCACCTGCGGGGACACCGGGACGTGGCACCGGGCTGGGGGGTCCCCATGTACCCCTGTAGGTCCCCTATACAGCGCCCCCCCCAGAGCTCGTTTTGTGCCCCCTCAGCAGCGCCGCCTCGTGTCCGCACGCGGTTACTGCGCCAGGGCCCCCGTGCCCCCCCCCGCGGCCGTACCCGGCTCCTGCACCACGTAGGAGACGCCGCAGGAGCCGTCCTTGCGGTCCTCGAAGGCGATCTCGGCCTTGCTCGGGCCCTCCACGGCGATGGAGAGGCCCCCGGCGCCCGCCTCCCGCGTCCAGATGCTGAACTCGGCTGGGGGGGCACGAAGAGGGGGGTCAGGGAGCCCCAAAGGGCTGAGACGCCCCCCAGACGTAACCCAGTGCGTGGGATATGGGGGCAGGCCAGGAGGGGATGGGAGGGATGCAGGGGGAGCTGCAGTGGGCTTTGGGGATGCTCGGAGAGGATTTGGAGGCTCTGGGTCAGGTCTGGGGGCTCTGGGTCATGTTTAAGGGGTGTGGGTCACGTTTAGGGGGCTATCAGGTTTAGGTGTATCTGTATCAGTTCTGGTGTAGATAAGGTTTAGGTGTATCTCTCTCAGGTTCAGGTGTATTTGTCTCACGTTTAGGTGTACCTGTCTCAGGTTCAGGTGTATCTCTATCAGGTTTAGGTGTATCTGCATTAGTTTTGGTGTATATAAGGTTTAGGTGTATCTCTCTCAGGTTCAGGTGTATTTGTCTCACGTTTAGGTGTACCTGTCTCAGGTTCAGGTGTATCTCTATCAGGTTTAGGTGTATCTGCATCAGTTTTGGTGTATATAAGGTTTAGGTGTATCTCTCTCAGGTTCAGGTGTATTTGTCTCACGTTTAGGTGTACCTGTCTCAGGTTCAGGTGTATCTCTATCAGGTTTAGGTGTATCTGCATCAGTTTAAGTGTATATAAGGTTTAGGTGTATCTCTTCAGGTTCAGGTGTATTTGTCTCACGTTTAGGTGTACCTGTCTCAGGTTCAGGTGTATCTCTATCAGGTTTAGGTGTATCTGCATCAGTTTAAGTGTATATAAGGTTTAGGTGTATCTCTTCAGGTTCAGGTGTAGCACTATCAGGTTTAGGGGGGGTTCTCTCAGGTTTAGGGGTGTCTGTGTCACTGTTGGGGCCCCCCCGCTCACCTGGCACCCCTGCCTCGGCGCGCTCTAGGCCGGGTCCCCCCGCTCGGACCTTGTGCGCGCCGCCTTCACCCAGCGGCCCCACGGTGAACTGGAAGGGGCTGCCCGGCACGTGCTGGCCCCGGTCCTTCACGCTGACCGAGTGCACCCCGGTCTCGGCCGGCACGAACCGGATGCTGTAGGCGCCGCCCTCGCCCTCCAGCGCCTGCGCCGCCACCGCCTGCCCCGAGGGGCCCGTGACCAGCGCCGTCACCTCGTGCTCGCTCAGCTCTGCGGGGACGGGGGGGTCCTTAAGGTCTCTCCATTTGTCCTTGGGGTCCCCCCCATAGGACCCCCTGGGCCCCCCCTCATCACTTACCGGGCACCTTGAGGCTGAGGTCGCAGGCAGAGCCCACGGTGGCCTCGGGGGGGGCACGGCGCCGGCGCGTGATGCTCTCCTTCATCCGGCCCTCGCCTGTCACCTTCACTGAGAACGGGCTCCCTGGGGGTCCAGCGGGGCGTCAGACACCCCATAGATTCCACAGACCACATAGACCCCCTCATAGACCACATAGACACCCCACAGACCCCCCCCATCGCTGGGGCGCACCGGGCACGTGCTGGTCGCCGAACTTGAGCGAGATGATGTAGTTGCCGGGCTCCGTGGGGCAGTAGGAGACACGGCACGTCCCGTCCTCCAGCTCCTCCGTGGTGATGTCCACCTTGCTGGGGCCCTCGATGGACAGGCTCAGCCCCCCATACCCTACCATGGGGCACGGGGGGGTTAACGGGGACCCCCTCCCAGGCATGTGACACCCCCTGGTTGTGATGGGGCCAGAGGGAGGGGGGTCAGGGCTGGCGGGTGATGGGGACATTGTGGTGGAGGGGTGCTATGGGGCGGTCAGGGGCTGGTACTTGCATCGTGGGTATCAGTGGTGAAGTGCATGGGTGCAATGGGGATGCTATGGGGGGTCAGGAAGTGCTATGGGTGCAATGAGGGGCATCAGGGGATGCTATGGGGATGCTATGGGTGCTACGGGGGGTCAGGGGATGCTACAGGTGCTATGGGGATGCTATGGGTGCTACGGGTGCTCTGGGGATGCTCTGGGTGCTATCAGGATGCCATGGGTGCTCTGGGGGTGCTCTGGGGACACTCTGGGTGCTATCAGGATGCCATGGGTGCTATGGGGATGCTCTGGGTGCTATCAGGATGCCATGGGTGCTCTGGGGGTGTTCTGGGGACGCTCTGGGTGCTATCAGGATGCCATGGGTGCTCTGGGGGTGTTCTGGGGATGCTCTGGGTGCTATCAGGATGCCATGGGTGCTCTGGGGGTGTTCTGGGGACGCTCTGGGTGCTATCAGGATGCCATGGGTGCTCTGGGGGTGTTCTGGGGACGCTCTGGGTGCTATCAGGATGCCACGGGTGCTATGGGTGCCATGGGGGGGTGCAGGTACCGGCATCGCGGGTGTCGATGGTGAAGTGGGTGGGCTCGAAGGTGCGGCCCTCGCGCAGGCCCGGCCCTGCCACACGCACGCGGGCGGCGTCGCCCAGCTCTGCCTGGCTGATGGTGACGGCGATGGGGCTGCGCGGCAGAGGCTGCCCCCCCCGCAGCACGTGCACCAGGTGCTCCCCCACCTCCTGCGGCACGAAGGAGATCCCTGCGGGGCACGGGGCAGCCATGAGGGAATGGGGTACGGGGGGATGCAGGGGTACGGGGATATGGGGGTGCAGGAATATGGGGGTATGGGGATATGGGGGTATGGGGATGGGTATGGGGATATAGGGGTACGGGGATATGGGGGTACAGGGATATGGGGGTATGGGGATATGGGGGTATGGGGATGGGTATGGGGATATAGGGGTACGGGGATATGGGGGTGCAGGGATATGGGTGTATGGGGATATGGGGGTATGGGGATGGGTATGGGGATATAGGGGTACGGGGATATGGGGGTGCAGGGATATGGGTGTATGGGGATATGGGGGTATGGGGATGGGTATGGGGATATAGGGGTACGGGGATATGGGGGTACAGGGATATGGCTGTATGGGGATATGGGGGTATGGGGATGGGTATGGGGATATAGGGGTACGGGGATATGGGGGTACAGGGATATGGGAGTACGGTGATATGGGGATATAGGGGTACAGGGATATGGGGGTATGGGGATATGGGGGTATGGGGATGGGTATGGGGATATAGGGTTATGGGGATATGGGGGTACGGGGGTATGGAGATATGGGGATATGGGGTAGGGGGATACAGGGATATGGGGTATGGGATATGGGGATACAGGGATATGGGGGTATGGGGATATGAAGTATGGGTATATGGAGATACAGTATATGGGGATAACGGCATATAGGATATGGGGGTATGGGGATATGAAGTATGGGTATATGGAGATACAGTATATGGGGATAACGGGATATAGGATATGGGATATGGGGATACAGGGATATGGGGGTATGGGGATATGAAATATGGGTATATGGGGATACAGGGATATAGGATATGGGGTATGGGGGCCAGCAGCTGTGGCTGCTCCCCCCGTGACCCAGCAGCAAGTACCGGGCCCTGTCCCCCCCCCGCACCGATGTGCCCGTTGCGCAGGCGCTTGAGCTGGCAGGGCTCCTTGCGGCCCGAGGGCGCGGTGACGGCCGCCGTGAGCTGGCTCAGGTCGGTCTCACCCAGGTCCAGGGGGATGTCGGCTGAGGCGCCCACCTTGAGGTGGGACAGGCGCAGGCTGTCGTCACCTGCGGTGGGTAGTGGGTGAGCGCCATGGCCCCCATGGCAACCATTGACTCCCATTGCCTCCCATTGCACCCCATTGTATCCCATTGCATCCCACTGCCTCCCATTGCATCCCACTGCATCCCATTGCCTCCCAATGCAACCCATTGACTCCCATGGTGTTCCACCACCTCCCATTGCACCCCATTGCGTCCCATTGCACCCTATTGCATCCTCTTGCATCCTATTGCCTCCCATTGCAACCCATTGCCTCCCATTGCATCTCATTGCCTCCCATTGCCCCCCATTGCATCTCATTGCCTCCCATTGCACCCCATTGCCTCCCATTGCCCCCCATCGCCTCCCATCGCCCCCCATTGCCTCCCATCGCCTCCCATTGCCCCCATTGCCCCTCATCGCCCCCATGGCGCCCCGCTGCCGGGTACCGGTGATGCGGGCGGTGAAGGGGCTCCCGGGGATGTGCTTCTCGTTGTACTTGACCACGATGCTGTAGTCCCCGGGCAGCACGGGCAGGTAGGAGACGCTGCACGTCCCGTCCTGGTTGTCCGTGCAGCTCAGCTCCGCCTTGGAGGGCCCCTCCACGGCCAGCGACAGCCCTCCTGGGGGGTAGGGCAGCAGTGAGGGGGGGCCCAGGTGCTCGTGGGTGCTGGGGAGGCACCCCGTGGGCTCACCCTCGCCGGCGTCCTTGGTGTTGACGGTGAAGGAGGCTGGTTTGTTCACGGTGCCGTGGATGAGGCCAGGGCCGTAGGCGGTGACGTGGCCGCTGTTCACGTAGTCCACATAGAACTGAAGGGGGCTGCCTGTGGGGACACACACACAAAGGGGGTGTTGGGGGGCAGGAGACGCCCCCCCCAGTGCCACGGAGGATGCTGGTGGTTGCCATGGATACGGGGTGGGATGTGGGGAGCCGCGGTGCTGGGATGCTTCAGGAGGGTGCCCTCAAAGCCCCCCCGGCCCCCACCTGGGATGTGCATGCTCTCGTAGCGGATGTCCATCTCGTGCAGCCCGGCCTCGCTGGGCGCGAACCGAACCGTCACCGTCCCGTCCTTGTTGTCGGTGATGTCTGGCTTGGCCACCTTGCCCGAGGGCATCCGCACCTCCCCTGGGGGGAAAGGGGGGTCACTGGGGGGGCTGCGGGCACCCATGGGTGCCCCATTGCTTGGGGAGGACTTGGGGAAGGGGTGGGGACCCCCAGGAGGACCCCAGGTGGGTGTTGAGGACCCTGGGCAATGGGAGGGGCCCCCATAGACCCGCATGGCTTTGGGGTGCCCCCCCCTCACCAGTGATCTCGCCCTTCTTGATGGTGAAGGGGATGACGAGGTCGAAGGGGCGCAGCCCGGCCATGTCCAGCCCGTTCACCCCTAGCAGCGCCCGCTCTGTCGCCTGCGCCAGGGGGGAACTGCATTGGGCACCGGGACCCCCAACTGGGCCCTGTCCCCACCCTGTGCCCCCCTGTGCCCCCTCCCACCCTGCCCATCCCCTGCCCAACCCCCTTCCATGTCCCTTCTTGTCCTCTTCCTGACTCCCGTCATTCCCTCCCCATCCCTACCCCAATTCCTGCCCATCCCTGCCTATCCCTGCCCACCCCTCCCCATCCCTCCCCATCCCTGCCCCATCCCTCCCCATCCCTGCCCACCCCTGCCAGCCCCACACTCACCATGACCTGGAAGGGGCTGTTGGGGATGTGCTCGCCGCCGAAGCGCACACAGATCACGTACTTGCCGGGCTGTGGCGCGGTGTAGAAGATGTCGAAGGTCCCGTCCGCGTTCTCCACCACGTCCACGTCGGCCTCGGAGCCGTCGGGGGTGCAGACGCTGCACGTCACCTTCCCCTTGCCCGCCGCCTTCGCGTCCACCGTGATCACCGTCTCCTCCCCCAGCTGGATTGTGGGGCCCAGACCGGCCCCTGTGGGATGGGGGAGGTGGGGGTGATTGAGGGCCCCATTGACAGGGGAGGTCACCCCACTGTGGGCCTCCAGAGCCCACAAACTGAGCCCTGGGTACCCCCCATGGGCTGAGCATGGGGATGCTCCACTCGTGCCATGGGGAGGGGGGGGGGGTAATGAGGGTTATTGAGGCACCCCCAGCTCATTGCCCCATTGCCTGTACCCCCCCCCCCATACACCCCCAAACTGAGTCCTGGGTACCCCTTATGGGCTGAGCATGGGGATGCTCCAGTCGTGCCATGGGGAGGGGGGGTACAAAGGCACACCCCAGCTCATTGCCTCCAACTGCACCAAGAGGGCCCCCCCAAAGTGAATGAGGTGGGGGGGACACTCCCCCCACTACAACAGTGGGTCCCTGTCCTTGAAGCAGCTGGGGGGGACCCCTCCATCTCAAACAAGGCTTGGACCCCCCGAAGTCGAGCCCTGATTGGCTGCGGGGGGACCCTCATTGCTGTCTGGGGAGAAAAGGGGGTGCCCCCAAGGGCTGGGGGCACTTTGGGGGTGCAGGGGGGGTCACGCATGCACCCCGACGCCAAGCGAGCCATGCAATGAGCTTACCTAAGCCGTGACCTCCGATGGAGACTACAGCAGTGGGGGGGAGGGGGGGGGGATGTGGGGCGGGCGTGGGGGGGGCAGAGAAGCAAGAAATCAGTGAAACACACGTGAGGCCCTGCCAGATCCCCCCATAGCCCTCCCCCGCTGCGGGTGGTGCTGAGCCCAGTGCTCGCGTACCGGTGACGGTGCACTTGCTGGCGTCGCCGGCGGGCACGGCGCGGATGCGGTACGGGGAGTAGGGGATCTCGTCCCCCCCGTACTTGATGAGGATGGTGTAGCGCCCGGTCATGTCCGGCACGTAGGACACCGTGTACGTCCCGTCCTGGTTGTCCCGGATCGACGCCTTCTTGGGCTTCCCCTCGGGATCCTGCGGGACAGCGGGAATGGGGTGGGAGGGAGGGCGGGAGCCGGTGCACAGCCAGCCCCAGGCCTCAGCACTGAGCATCCGCTGGGATGCCCCTGGTGCCCAAACAGGGTGCATCACCCATGGCACCGTGAGCATCACCCATGTACATCACCCCTGGCATCACCCACGGCATCACTCATGGCACCGTGAGCATCACCCATGGCACCGTGAGCATCACCCATGTACATCACCCCTGGCATCACCCATGTACATCACCCCTGGCATCACCCACGGCATCACTCATGGCACCGTGAGCATCACCCATGGCACCGTGAGCATCACCCATGTACATCACCCCTGGCATCACCCATGTACATCACCCCTGGCATCACCCACGGCATCACTCATGGCACCGTGAGCATCACCCATGTACATCACCCCTGGCATCACCCACGGCATCACTCATGGCACCGTGAGCATCACCCATGGCACTGTGAGCATCACCCACGGCACCATGTACATTGCCCATGGCATCACCCACGGCACCGTGAGCATCACCCATGGCACCATGTGAATCACCCATGGCATCACTCATGGTACTGTGAGCATCACCCATGGTACTGTGAGCATCACCCATGGCACCCATCACCCATAGCACCTTGCGCATCACCCATGGCACCCATCACCCATAGCACCTTGCGCATCACCCATGGCACCCAGAGACGCCTGTACAGCACTATGGGCTCCCCCCCATGCCCCCCCAGTGCCCCCCCATCCCTCACAGTGATCTGCACGGCCAGGAGCCCCTCGCCCGCGTCCTTGGCGTCGATGGTGAACTCCACGGGCAGGCTGGCCGGGACGCCCGTGGTGTTGAGCCCCGGGCCGCTCGCCTTCACCTTGCTGGCGTCATGGGTGGGCAGCGCCTTCACCTTGAACGGGCTTGGGGAACACCATGGGGGGGTCAGAGCAGAGCCCCCACCCCGGTCCTCCCCTGTGGCCCCCCCATGCCCATGTCCCCCCCCAGTACCTGCGGGGCACCTCCTCGTCGCCGTAGCGCACGGAGATGCTGTAGGGCCCCTCGCGGCTCGGGACGTAGCTCACGCGCTGGGTCCCGTCCCCGTTGTCTGCCACCTCCACTGGCTCCACTACACCTATGGGGGGGGCACGGGGGTCAGGGGGGCACTGGGGGGGGCCCACCGCACATTATGGGACACCCAGAGACCCCCTGGAGGCACCCCAAGAGGCCACATGGGCACCCCAACGCCATGCATGGGATGCCCCCCGCACCCCACCACCCACAGGACACCCTTTACCCCCATCCCTTGCACCAGGAGCACCCCAACCGCTCTGAGCCCCCCTCCCTTGGGTGCTCCCCCCTTTACCTTTGGGTCCCTGCACCTTCACATCCAGGGGGGCCACCCCGGCCTTGCTGGTGTCCACAGTGAAGCTCTGGGGCACGTTGGCCCTGACAGCACCCAGCGTCAGCCCCGGCCCCACACATTTCACCTTGGCTGCGTCCACCACGTCCGTCACCGGCACCTTGAATGGGCTCCCTATGGGGGGTACCATGAGCCATGGGGCACGGGGGGGGCCCCACCGCCGCGCTGACCCCCCTCGCGCTCACCGGGGACCTGGTGGCCGCCGTAGGTGACGTTGAGGCTGTAGGTGCCTGGCTCGTAGGGGATGTACTCGACGGAGCAGCTCCCGTCCTTGTTGTCCGTGCACGACATCTTGGCCTCCGAGGGGCCCTCCACGGCCAGGCCCAGCCCCCCCGTGCCAGCCCCCCTGGGGGGTGGGGAGATGGGGGTCAGGGGCACCTCCAAACCCCACCATGGGGGGGGGGGGAAGGGGTTTGGGGGTGACTTGGGGGGCAGCAGGGGCAGGATGTGGGGTACGAGGATGTCCTGGGGTGTATCAGGGACAGGATGACTTTGGGGTACAGGGATGACTTGGGGGACCCAGGACAGCCTGTGGGTGCTGTGGGGTACCCATAGGCAGGCCGTGGGTGCTGTGGGGTTCCCATGAACAGGCTGTGGGTGCTATGGGGCACCCCACGGTCAGACTGTGGGTGCTATGGGGTACCGTGGGCAGGCTGTGGGTGCTGTGGGGTGCCTATGAGCAGGCTGTGGGTGCTATGGGGCGCCCCACGGTCAGGCTGTGAGGCACCCATGGACAGGCTGTGGGTGCTGTGGGGTGACCATGGTCAGGCAGTGAGGCAGCCATGGACAGGCTGTGGGTGCTGTGGGGTGCCCCATGGTCAGGCTGTGGGTGCTATGGGGCCCTCACCGGGTCTCCACGGTGAAGCGGTTGGGCTGGTTGGTGGTGCCACTCTGCAGGCCGGGCCCATGGACGCGGACGCGCGCGGGATCACAGCCCTCGGTGACGGGGACGCGGAAGGGGCTGTGGGCACCGGGCTCCCGGCGTAGCTCACGTCCACCGTGTGCAGGCCTGGGGGCACCCCATAGGGACGTCACCTCATGGCCATAGGGAACACAATGGGGCATCCCTCCATGGCCATAGGGACACAGCGGGGCGACCCCCACATAGCCATAGGGACACTGTGGGGCCACCTCCCCGCTCACCTTCCTCATAGGGGGTGTACTCCACGTGGTAGGTGCCGTCGCCCCGGTCCTCCACGAAGGTCTCGGTGACGTTCCCGGAGGGGTTGCACACCCGCGTCTTCACGTGGGGCCCCCCCACCTTGGTGAGCGCCCGGGCGTCCACATCGAACTCGGTCACCGCCTCCCGGAACACGCCTGGATGGGGAGAGAACGGGAGCTGTGATGGGGTCCACCACCAATGGGTGCTGTGCTGGGGTCCATTGATGGGTGCTCTGCGGGTGTCATCATCGATGGGTGCTGTGCTGGGGTCCATCGATGGGTGCTGTGTGGGTGTCAATCATCAATGGGTGCTGTGCTGGGGTCCATCGATGGGTGCTGTGTGGGTGTCAATCATCAATGGGTGCTGTGCGGGTGTCAATCAATGTTGGGGTCCATTGGGGACACCATAGGTGTTGTGTTGGTGCCCATCGATGGGTGTTTGTGTTGGTGCCCACCGATGGGTGCTGTGTTGGTGCCCATCAGTGGGTACTGTGTTAGTGCCCACCGATGGGTGCTGTGTTGGCTGGTGCCCACCGATGGGTGCTGTGTTGGTGCCCACCGATGGGTGCTGTGTTGGTGCTCATAGATGGGTGCTGTGTTGGTGTCCACTGATGGGTGCTGTGTTGGTGCCCACCGATGGGTGCTGTGTTGGTGCCCATCGATGGGTGTCGTGTTGGTGTCCACTGATGGGTGCTGTGTTGGTGCCCACCGATGGGTGCTGTGTTGGTGCCCATCGATGGGTGTCGCGTTGGTGCCCACCGATGGGTGCTGTGTTGGTGCCCATCAGTGGGTGCTGTGTTAAGTGCCCACCGATGGGTGCTGTGTTGGCTGGTGCTCAACAATGGGTGCTGTGTTGGTGCCCACCGATGGGTGTCATGTTGGTGTCCACCGATGGGTGCTGTTTTGGTGCTCATAGATGGGTGCTGTGCTGGTGTCCACTGATGGGTTCTGTGTTGGTGCCCATTGATGGGTGCTGTGTTGGTGCCCATCGCTGTCACCCCCGCACCCCTCTCTCACCTTCTCCCTCCACTCCGGGCCCATAGACCTTGACCCGGCCGTGTCCACGGCGGGCTCCACGCGGACCTTGCTGGGGAAGTGCGGCACGGGCTGCCCGCCGTACTCCACGGTGATGGTGTAGACGCCGGGGCTCAGTGGGGTGTAGGCGATGGTGTAGGTGCCGTCGCCGTTGTCCTCCACGCGCACCTCGGCGCGGGCGCCCGCCTCCGAGGCGATGCCGATGGTGAGCTCGGCGCTGCCGGCGCGGCTGCAGTCCACTCGGAAGTGCCCGGCCTGCCCGGCCGTGGCCCCCTCCAGCCCCGGGCCCGAGCACGTCACCTTGGAGGCGTCGAAGGGGGCTCGCACCGGGGGCGCGGAACGGGGACCCTGGCACGTGGGCGCCGGCGAAGAGGATGTTGATGTTGTAGTCGCCGGGCTCGGTGGGCAGGTAGGACACGGAGCAGGTCCCGTCGCCGTTGTCCACGCACTCGATCTTGGCTTCGCAGGGCCCCTCCACCGTCAGCCCCAGGCCCCCGGTGCCGGCGCCTTTGGTGTCGATGGTGAAGGGCGCTGGGACCCCCGGCAGCCCCCCCTGTAGCCCTGGCCCGAAGGCGCGCACCTGGGGGAGGGTGGGGAGTGGAGGATGTGTCATAGAGGGGGCACGGGCACAGGGAGCCCCTTTTAGAGCCCCGTTGGTGTTTTGGGGTCCCCATTGCTTGCTGCTGCGGGTATCTGGGGGTGTTTAGGAGCCCGTAAGGGGTGTCTGTGTGTGCAGGGAGGTTTTGTGGTCCCCATTCCCCACTGCAGGGGTTGTTTGAGGGGGGTCCCCACTGCCCACTGCAGGGGCTGCTCAGGGCTGAGCGCTCCCATTCCCCACCATAGGGGGGGTGCCCGGGTGTCCCCATCCCCATCCCATCCCCTCCCCCATCCTCCATCCCCATCCCATCCCCTCTCCCATCCCCCTCCCATCCCCTCCCCCCATCCCCATCCCCCATCCCCTCCCCATCCCCCTCCCCATCCCCTCCCCATCCCCATCCCCATCCCCTCCCATCCCCATCCCCATCCCCTCTCCCATTCCCATCCCCTCTCCCATCCCCCTCCCATCCCCTCCCCCATCCCCATCCCCATCCCCTCTCACATCCCCATCCCCTCCCCCATCCCCATCCCCATCCCCATCCCCTCTCACATCCCCATCCCCATCCCCATCCCCATCCCCATCCCCATCCCCCTCCCATCCCCTCCCCCATCCCCATCCCCTCTCCCATTCCCATCCCATCCTCCATCCCCCTCCCATCCCCTCTCCCATCCCCATCCCCATCCCCATCCCCATCCCATCCCCCACCCCCCTCCCCCACCTTGCTGGGGTCCGGTGCCGCGGGCACTGCCCGGATGGGGAAGGGGCTCCCGGGGACGGCGGCGCCTCGTACGTGAGCTCGAGCTCGTGGGCGCCCTCGTGCCGCGGGACGAAGCGCACGAGGCTGGCGCCGTCCGGGCCGGGCTCCACGGCGCAGGGCGCCCCCTGGCGGGAGGGCCGCTCAAGCGCGCCCCCACGCGGCCGCCGCCGCCGGCCCCGCGCCACTGCACGAGAACCTCCTGCTCCCGGCCCACTTCCGGTGCTGCGGGGGGGGAGACACCGAAATGGGGGAGACTGACCCCGAAATGGGGGGGAAGGACCCCAAAATGGGGGAGACTGACCCCAAAATGGGGGAGATTGACCCCAAAATGGGGGGAGGGACACCAAAATGGGGGAGACTGACCCCAAAATGGGGGAGACTGACCCCGAAATGGGGGAGACTGACCCCGAAATGGGGGAGATTGACCCCGAAATGGGGGGGAGGGACACCAAAATGGGGGAGACTGACCCCAAAATGGGGGAGATTGACCCCAAAATGGGGGGGAGGGGACACCAAAATGGGGAGACTGACCCCAAAATGGGGGAGACTGACCCCCGAAATGGGGGAGATTGACCCCCGAAATGGGGGAGACTGACCCCAAAATGGGGGAGATTGACCCCAAAATGGGGGGGGAAGGACCCCAAAATGGGGGGGAGGGACACCAAAACAAGGGGATTAACCCCAAATAGAGCTCTACCCACAGATAGGGATGGATCCCAAAACAGGGGGAAATGAGATCCAAAATGGGGCGGATTAACCCCAAAATGAGGAGGAATAACCCCCAAATGGGGCAGGATTTACCCCAAAATAGAGCTGTACCCACAGATTGGGATGGACCTGGAAATGCGGGGGGAAATTAGACCCAAAATGGGGTGATTAACCCCAAAATAGAGCTGTACCCACAGAGCAGGATGGGACCCCAAAACAGGGGGGGAATGAGCCCCCAAATGGGCGGGATTAACCCCAAAACAAGGGCTGCACCATGAAGGGGGGGCTGCATCCTGCCCCAACCCGCCCCCCCCACATCATCTATGGGGAGGGAGGCCCCATTTCTCCCCCATCATCACTCCCACCTCCAAAGGCCGCTCCCACCCCAAAATCGGGGTCCCCACCCTCCCCCCATCCCCAGCTCCCCAATTGCCCCACCCGTAAATGGGGTTTGCCTCCCCTCAGCCCCCCCCCCCCCCACTTACTCTCATCCAGGCCTGAGACCTTGATCTTGCTCAGGTCCACGCCTGGGACCACCCCCACGGTGAAGGGGCTCTTGGGGATGGGGTCGCCCCCATAGGTCACTGCGACCCCCAAGTTACCCTGGGGGAGGACAAGGGGAGGCTCAGGGGGTGCCCCATGGCCCCCCCATGGGGGAGTTCCCCCATGGCAATAGGAGGTTTGGGGGTGCAGGGGAGTCTATGGGGCTGTGCCTGCTGCACTGGGGTGGTTTGGGGGTCTCTATGGGGCCGTACCTGCTGCACCGGGGTGGTTTGGGGGTGTCTATGGGGCCGTACCTGCTGCACCGGGGTGGTTTGGGGTGTCTATGGGGCCGTACCTGCTGCACCGGGGTGGTTTGGGGGTGTCTATGGGGCCGTACCTGCTGCACCGGGTGTACTTGACCGTGTGGGTCCCGTCGAGGTTGTCGATGAGCTCCAGGTCCTTCACGGCGTCCCCCTTGCCCGTTCCCGTCACCTGCACCTCGAGGGCCCCGCGCCCCCCGCCCTTGGCGTTCACCGTGAACTGCGTCGGCTTCCCCAGCTCCACCCCTGGGGGGCACGGGGGGGGTCAGGGGGGTCCCCAAACCCCCCCCGGGACCCCCTGGTCCATCCCCCCCCCGCCCCGTGCTCACCGGAGCGGCTCAGGCCGGGCCCCTCCGCCTTCACTTTGCTGGCGTCGTGCGAGGGATCCACCTTGATCCGGATGGGGCTGCTGGGGGTGGCCTGGGGGGAGCAGGATCAGGGTTTGGGACCAAAACCAGCCCCAAACAGCCCCAAACCGGCACCAAACCAACACCAACCAGTGCCCTGCACCCCACACCGGCATCAAACCAGCACCAAAGCAGTACCAAACAGCCCAAACCAGTGCCCTGTGCTCCAAACCAGCACCCAAACAGCGTCTTGTACCCCAAATCAGTGCTTCAGACCCCAAATCCCGCACCCAGCACCCCAATATCAGCGCTCTGGCCTCAGTGTCGGTGCTCCGGACCCCAACAGCAGCCCTTTGGAGCCCAGAACCAGCGCCCTGGCTGCAGGAGCAGCCCCCGCTGACCTGGTCTCCGAAGAGCACCATGATGGTGTACGCGCCGGCGCCGCGGGGGTGTAGCGCACCGTGAAGGTGTCGTTGTCGTTGCGGATGATGTCGAAGTCGACGTCGGCCTCGGCCGGGCCCACAACGCCCGGCGCACACTTGATCCCGATGCTCACATCGCCTGGGGGGCGCAGCGCGCTGAACCCCTGCGTCCCATGGTGCCCCATAGAGCCCCACAGTGCCCCACAGAGCCCCATAGAGACACAGAGTGCACCCCAAAGCTCCCTACAGAGCCCCATAGTGCCATATAGAGCCCCACAGCTCCCTAGAGAGCCCCATACCGCCCTATAGAGCCCCACAGAGACCCATAGTGCCCCATAGAGACCCATAGCACCCCATAGTGACCCATAGTACCCCACAGAGACCCATAGTGCACCCCAAAGCTCCCTACAGAGCCCCATAGTGCCATATAGAGCCCCATAGCTCCCCATAGAGCCCCACAGCACTCCCCATAGAGCCCCATAGCGCCCTATAGAGCCCCATAGCGCACCCCATAGCGTGCCCTATAGATCCCCATGGCACCCTATAGTGCCCCATAGAGCCCCACAGCCCTTCAGTCCCCCCACAGCCCCCCTGTCTCACCCTGCCCGGCCTCGCTGCAGTCCACGGTGAAGTAGGTGGGCTCATGTGCCTTGAGCCCTGTCTTGGCCACGCCGGGCCCATAGACCTTCACCTTGTGTGGGTGGCTGCCGGCCCCGACCCCCACCTATGGACAGGGACCGGGGGGGGTCAGACCTGAGACCCCCCCCAGGACCCCCCCATAGGTTATGGGGCGCCCCCTTACCCTGAAGGGACTCTGGGGGATGCTGACGCCCCCCCAGGACACCATTGCCGTATGCTTGAGCGGCCGCTTGGGCACGTAGGAGCAGCTGAAGGTGCCATTGCCGTTGTCCTTGACTGAGACGTCCACGGGGTTCCCCTCCGCGTCCTACAGGGGTACAGGGGGTCAGCACCCAAATCCCCCCCAGCACCCAAATCCCCCCCCAGCACCCAAATCCCCGCCTAGCACCCAGATACCCCCCCAGCACCCAAATCCCCCCCAGCACCCAAATCCCCCCCCAGCACCCAAATCCCCGCCTAGCACCCAGATACCCCCCCAGCACCCAAATCCCCCCCAGCACCCAAATACCCCCCTAGCACTCAAATACCACCCCAGCGCCCCAGTGTCCCCCACCTGCATCTGCACTTTGAGGGCTCCCTTGCCCCCGTTCTTGGCATCCACGGTGAACTCAGCTGCTTTGTTCACGGCCACCCCGGTCTTCTCCAGCCCCGGTCCATGGGCCTTGACCTGTGGGGGGGCACAGGGGTTATGGGGTGCAGGTGGGATGTGGGGGTCTCCATGGACACTATGATCTGTATGGATCCTTATGGGTCTCTATAGGTCTCTATGGTCTCTGTGGGTCTCTATGAATCCCTATGGGTCTCTATGCACCCCTATGGGTCTCTATAGGTCTCTATGGTCTCTGTGGGTCTCTATGGATCCCTATGGGTCTCTATGTATCCCTACGGGTATCTATGCATCCCTATGGGTCTCTATAGGTCTCTGTGGTCTTCATAGGTCTCCATAAGTCTCTATTGTCTCGATGTTCTCTACAGGTCTCTATGGGTCTCTATGGTCTCCATGGGCCTCTATGATCTCTACGTGTATTGACTCTATGGATCCCTATGGGTCTCTGTGGGTCTCTACGGATCCCTATGGGTCTCTATGGGTCTCTATAGGTCTCTATGGTCTCGATGTTCTCTATAGGTCTCTATGGTCTCTATGGTCTCTATGTGTCTCTATCATCTCTATGGATCCCTATGGGTCCCTATGGGTCTGGGGTGGTGCCGGCGGAGCCGCACCTTCTCGGGGCAGCAGTCGCGGGACGCGGGGCGGATGTCGGCCATGAAGGGGCTGCCGGCGATGTCGTCGCCGTCGCAGAGCACGTGCACGGCGTAGGCGCCCGGCTCCTGCGGCCAGTACCGCACGTCGCAGGAGCCGTCGCCGCGGTCGTCGCACTCGATCTTGGCCTGCGAGGGGCCCTCCACCGAGAAACCTGGGGGGAACGGGGGGGAAGGGGTCAGGGGCACCCCAAAACCAGCCCCGGGGACAGGGGGGCGACGGAGCCGGGGGGCAGCAAATGTGGGCAAATCAGCTTAAAATCAGCCAGAAATCAGCCTAAACCAGCCCAAATCAGCCTAAAACCAGCCCAAATCAGCCTAAAACCAGCCCACATCAGCCCCAACCCCCCCAGATCCCTCCCACATAGCCCCGGGGAGCCCCAAAATCCCTGCCACAGCCCCCCCTCCCTCAAGGACCCCACAGACCCCTCAGGTCCCCCCCCCATATGTGACCCTCAAGGGGTCCTTGAGACCCCAGCCTCCCCTGACCCCCCCCGCTGCGCCCCCCTCACCGAGGGTGCCGACGTCATCCCCGATGGCCTCCACCACGAACTCGGCCGCGCTCCCCACGGCGCCGCCCTCCAGCCCCGGGCCCCACGCGCGCACCCGGGGGGGGCCCCCCTCGGGGGACACCTGCACCTCGAAGGGGCTGCGGGGACACGGGGGCACGGACACAGGTGGGCATGAACACACGTGTACATACATACGTGTATATATGTGTACATACATGTGGCCACACGTGTACATGCATACACATACATGTGTGCATACATGTACACACATACACCTACATGCGTGTATACATGCACACATACACCTACATGAATGTATACATGTACACATACACCTACATGAATGTATACATGTACACATACACCAACAGTTGTGTGCATACGTGTACATGTGTGTGCACATACATACGTGTGTGTATACATGTACATGCACATACATAAACATATATACATGTATGTACATTTACACACACGCACACACATACCTATACATGTATGCACACACACACACTACACATGTATGCACACACACTACACATGTATGCACACACACACGCACACACATACCTACACATGTATGCACACACATACCTACACATGTACACATGCACACACACACCTACCTACACATGTATGCACACACACATACCTACACATGTATGCACACACATACCTACACATGTACACATGCACACACACACCTACCTACACATGTATGCACACACACACACTACACATGTATGCACACACACTACACATGTATGCACACACACACGCACACACATACCTACACATGTATGCACACACATACCTACACATGTATGCACACACACACGCACGCACATACCTACACATGCGTGCACACACACGCACACACATGTGTACACACACACGCACGCACACACATACCTACACATGTATGCACACACACACGCACGCACATACCTACACATGTGTGCACACACACGCACGCACATACCTACACATGTGTGCGCACACACACGCACGCACATACCTACACATGTGTGTACACACGCACACACATGTGTACACACACACACGCACACACACACATACCTACACATGTATGCACACACACACGCACGCACATACCTACACATGTGTGCACACACACGCACGCACATACCTACACATGTGTGCGCACACACGCACACACATGTGTACACACACACACGCACGCACACACATACCTACACATGTATGCACACACACACGCACGCACATACCTACACGTGTGCGCACACGCACGCACACACGCACACACATGTATGCACACACACACGCACGCACATACCTACACATGTGTGCGCACACACACGCACGCACACACGCACATACATGTATGCACACACACACGCACGCACATACCTACACATGTGTGTGCACACACGCACACACATGTATGCACACACACACGCACGCACATGTCTGTAAGCCCCGCCCCCCGCCTCACCTGCGGGGCACGGGCTGCCCCCCCCACAGCACGGACACCGTGTGGGGCCCGGGCACCGTGGGGACGTAGTCACAGGCGAAGACCCCATCTCCGAGCTCCCTCTGCCTGACGGGCTCAGGGCCCTCTACAAGGGGGGGTGGTCAGGGGGGCACCCACAGAGCCCTGCAGGGCCCCCATGGCACTCCCCATGGCACCCAATGCAGCACCCAATGCACCCAGGGAACCCCTATGGGCACCCCATGGCACCCAATGCACCCGGAGAACCCCTATAGAGCCCCATGTGGCACCCCATGGCACGCACTGCAGCACCCAATGCACCCAGAGTCCCCTATAGAGCCCCATTGGGCACCTCATGGCACCCACTGCAGCACCCAATGCACCCAGACACCCCTCTAGAACCCCATGGGGCATGCCGAGGCTCCCCATAGCACCCCCATTTCCCCCCAGGGCACCCCCAATCCCCCCCATAGCAGCCTGAATCTCCCCCATAGCACCCCCAATCTCCCCCATAGCATCCCCAACACCCCCAGCATCCCCAATCCCCGCCACAGCACCCCCATTCCCCTCCATAGCAGCCCGAATCTCCCCCATAGCACCCCCAATCTCCCCCATAGCATCCCCAACCCCCCATAGCATCCCCAATCCCCCCCACAGCACCCCCATTCCCCCATAGCACCTCCATGGCACACATTGCAGCACCCAACGCACCCGGAGCCCCCCATAGAGACCCACGGAGCCCCCAAACTCCCCCCGCACTCACTGGGCCCCTTGACGGTGACCTTGAGCTCCCCATTGCCGGCCCCCTTGGTGTAGACCTTGAACTCCGCCGGCTCCTTCACGCGCAGCCCCTTGGGCTGCAGCCCCCGCCCCACGGCACGGACCAGGGAGGGGGTGCAGGCTGGGGGGCAGCGGGGGGTCAGGCCATGGGGTGCCCCCAAAGCCACCCCAGAGACCCCAAACCCGGCCCCATGGATCCCAAACCCAGCCCCATGGATCCCAAACCCAGTTCCATGGATCCCAAACCCGGCTCCATGGATCCCAAACCTGGCCCCATGGATCCCAAACCCGGCCCCAGGGACCCCAAACTTGGCCCCATGGATCCTAAACCTGGCCCCATGGATCCCAAACCCAGCCCCATGGGTCCCACACCTGGCCCCATGGATCCCAAACCCAGCCCCACGGATCCCAAACCTGGCCCCATGGATCCCAAACCTGGCCCCAGGGAAAGGGGGGGAGAGGGGGACCCCAATGCACGTTGGGGTCCATGGGAAGGGGTTGACCCCATAGGGCGCTACGGGGGTGCAGCACCCGAAGGAGGGGGAGGGAAAGGGGGACCCCCCCCCGTACCGTGGCTGCGTCCCTGCGTGGGTCTGGAGCTTCCCCATAGAAGGAGCAGGACAGATACAGAGCAGAGTCAGCAGAGACCCCCCCCGAGGGCCTGGGGGGGGGGGGCAAGAGCACAGAGACCCCCATGGGGGGAGAATGGAGAGGCCCGAGTGTGGGGGAGGAGCACAGAGACCCCCACTTATGGGGCAGGAGCACAGAGATGCCCACTTATGGGGCAGGCACACAGAGACCCCCAGTGGGGGGAGCAGGAGCACAGAAATCCCCACCTATGGGGCAGGAGCACAGAGACCCCCAATGGGGGGAGCAGGAGCACAGAAATCCCCATCTATGGGGCATGAGCACAGAGACCCCCAATGGGGGGGGGCAGGAGCACAGAGACCCCCACTGGGGGGAGTAGGAGCACAGAGACGTCACTTATGGAGCAGGAGCACAGAGGACCCCAATGGGGGGGGCAGGGAGCACAGAGACCCTCATTGGGGGGCAGGAGCACAGAAACCCCCATCTGTGGGGCAGGAGCACCCAGACCCCATCTATGGGGCAGGAGCACACAGACCCCATCTATGGGGCAGGAGCACAGACCCCATCTATGGGGCAGGAGCACACAGACCCCATCTATGGGGCAGGAGCACAGACCCCCATCTGTGGGGCAGGAGCACAGACCCCCATCTATGGGCCAGGAGCACAGACCCCTATCTGTGGGGCAGGAGCACAGACCCCATCTGTGGGGCAGGAGCACACAGACCCCATCTGTGGGGCAGGAGCACACAGACCCCATCTGTGGGGCAGGAGCACAGACCCCTATCTATGGGCCAGGAGCACAGACACCATCTATGGGGCAGGAGCACAGACCCCATCTGTGGGGCAGGAGCACACAGACCCCATCTATGGGCCAGGAGCACAGACCCCATCTGTGGGGCAGGAGCACAGACCCCATCTGTGGGGCAGACCCCATGGTGGGGGGAGGTGGGGCTCACCCTGCCCCACGTGGACGCTGAAGGGGCTCCGGGGGATGGGCACTCCGCCGTAGGTCACGTGCACGCTGTGCGCGCCCTCGGCCGCGGGCGGTACGAGCAGCGGAAGGCGCCGTCCCCGCGGGGCTCCAGCGGCGCCTCCAGCGCCCCCCGGCGGCCGCTCGGGTCCGCGATGGAGACCTCGAGCTCGCCCGGGCCCGCGCCTGCGCAGAGGCACCGCGGGGTCAGCGCGGCCGGCACCGGCGGGGGGGCGAGACCCCAACACCCCCAGAGCCCCCCAAACCCCCCGACCCACAATTCAGACCCCCCTAAACCCCTTTAGACCCCCCAAGACCCCCCAAACCCCCTTCAGAGCCCCCAAACCCCCTCTTAGAGCCCCCAAACCCCCTTCAGAGCCCTCCAAACCCCCTCTTAGAGCCCCCAAACCCCCTTCAGAGCCCCCAAACCCCCTCTTAGAGCCCCCAAACCCCCTTCAGAGCCCCCAAACCCCCTCTTAGAGCCCCCAAACCCCCTTCAGAGCCCTCCAAACCCCCTCTTAGAGCCCCCAAACCCCCTTCAGAGCCCCCAAACCCCCTCTTAGAGCCCCCAAACCCCCTTCAGAGCCCCCAAACCCCCTCTTAGAGCCCCCAAACCCCCTTCAGAGCCCCCAAACCCCCTCTTAGAGCCCCCAAACCCCCTTCAGAGCCCCCAAACCCCCTCTTAGAGCCCCCAAACCCCCTTCAGAGCCCTCCAAACCCCTTTAGACCCCCCAAACCCCCTCTTAGAGCCCCAAACCCCCTTCAGAGCCCCCAAACCCCTTCAGAGCCCTCCAAACCCCTTTAGACCCCCCAAACCCCTCTTAGAGCCCCCAAACCCCCTTCAGAGCCCCCAAACCCCCTCTTAGAGCCCCCAAACCCCCTTCAGAGCCCTCCAAACCCCCTCTTAGAGCCCCCAAACCCCCTTCAGAGCCCCCAAACCCCCTCTTAGAGCCCCCAAACCCCCTTCAGAGCCCCCAAACCCCCTCTTAGAGCCCCCCAAACCCCCTTCAGAGCCCCCAAACCCCCTCTTAGAGCCCCCAAACCCCCTTCAGAGCCCCCAAACCCCCTCTTAGAGCCCCCAAACCCCCTTCAGAGCCCTCCAAACCCCTTTAGACCCCCCAAACCCCCTCTTAGAGCCCCAAACCCCCTTCAGAGCCCCCAAACCCCCTTCAGAGCCCTCCAAACCCCTTTAGACCCCCCAAACCCCCTCTTAGAGCCCCCAAACCCCCTTCAGAGCCCCCAAACCCCCTCTTAGAGCCCCCAAACCCCCTTCAGAGCCCTCCAAACCCCCTCTTAGAGCCCCCAAACCCCCTTCAGAGCCCCCAAACCCCCTCTTAGAGCCCCCAAACCCCCTTCAGAGCCCCCAAACCCCCTCTTAGAGCCCCCAAACCCCCTTCAGAGCCCCCAAACCCCCTCTTAGAGCCCCCAAACCCCCTTCAGAGCCCCCAAACCCCCTTCAGAGCCCTCCAAACCCCTTTAGACCCCCCAAACCCCCCTCTTAGAGCCCCCAAACCCCCTTCAGAGCCCCCAAACCCCTCTTAGAGCCCCCAAACCCCCTTCAGAGCCCCCAAACCCCCTCTTAGAGCCCCCAAACCCCCTTCAGAGCCCCCAAACCCCCTCTTAGAGCCCCCAAACCCCCTTCAGAGCCCCCAAACCCCCTTCAGAGCCCTCCAAACCCCTTTAGACCCCCAAACCCCCTCTTAGAGCCCCCAAACCCCCTTCAGAGCCCCAAACCCCCTCTTAGAGCCCCCAAACCCCCTTCAGAGCCCCCAAACCCCCTCTTAGAGCCCCCAAACCCCCTTCAGAGCCCTCCAAACCCCTTTAGACCCCCCAAACCCCCTCTTAGAGCCCCCAAACCCCCTTCAGAGCCCTCCAAACCCCCTCTTAGAGCCCCCAAACCCCCTTCAGAGCCCCCAAACCCCCTCTTAGAGCCCCCAAACCCCCTTCAGAGCCCCCCAAACCCCCTTCAGAGCCCCCCGTACCCCTTTAGACCCCCCAACCCCCCCAATCCTCCCCAAACCCCCTTAGAGGCCCCCCAAATCCCCTTTTAGAGCCCCAAACCCCCCTGACCCCCAATTCAGACCCCCCAATTCAGACCCCCCCAAACCTCCCCTTAAGAGCCCCCAAGCACTTTCAGAGCCCCCAAGCCCCTTTAGACACCTTCAGACCCCCCTAACCCCCCCTTAGAGACCCCGAGTCCCCCATTGCCCCCCTTGTCCCCCCGCTCACCGGCAGTGAAGATGTCGAAGTGGGTGCCCCGGTTGACCACGTTCCCGGTGGGCTCGAGGCCGGGGCCCTGCGCTGTGACCCTCGAGGCGTCGCCGGCGGCGCGCCCGACCTGCACCTCGAAGGGGCTCTTGGCGATGTTCTGCCCCGCGAACAGCACCGACACCTGCGGGGCAGCGGGGCTCAGTGGGGCCAGGCCAGATCAATGGGGCTGGGGCAGATCAGTGGGGCCGGGGCAGATCAATGGGGCCATAGAGGAGCTCAGTGTCCTCAATGGCTCCATAGGGGAACTCAATGGCTCCACAGGGGAGCTCAGTGTTCCCAATGGCTCCATATGGGAGCTGCTGGATCACTGTCCAGGCTCTGTGTCCTCAATGACTCCATACGGGAGCTCAATGGCTCCATAGGGGAGCTCAATGTCCTCAATGACTCCATAGGGGAGCTCAATGTCCTCAATGGCTCCATGGGAGCTCAATGGCTCCATAGGGGAGCTCAATGTCCTCAATGACTCCATACGGGAGCTCAATGGCTCCATAGGGGAGCTCAATGTCCTCAATGGCTCCATGGGAGCTCGATGGCTCCATAGGGGAGCTCAATGTCCTCAATGACTCCATAGGGGAGCTCAATGTCCTCAATGGCTCCATGGGAGCTCGATGGCTCCATAGGGGAGCTCAATGTCCTCAATGACTCCATAGGGGAGCTCAATGTCCTCAATGGCTCCATGGGAGCTCGATGGCTCCATAGGGGAGCTCAATGTCCTCAATGGCTCCATGGGAGCTCAATGGCTCCATAGGGAGCTCAATGTCCTCAATGACTCCATAGGGGAGCTCAATGGCTCCATAGGGGAACTCAATGTCCTCAATGGCTCCATGGGAGCTCGATGGCTCCATAGAGGAGTTGCTGGATCCTCCCCTGGCCTTGTTCCCACAGCTCCAGGACCTCCCCTACTGAGGCCACCCCCTTGGAGCCCCTCAGCCCCCCGAGCCCCACAGAACCCCCCCGAGCCCCATAGAGCCCCATTGCTGCAGCCCCACCTTGTGAATGCCGGTCACTTTGGGCACGTACGACACGGAGAAGGTCCGGTTCTTGTCGTTGTTGGCCACAACCTTAGCCTATGGGGGGGGGGGAGATGTGAGACCCCCAGTGGCCCATGGCACCCATAGCACCCATGGCACCCACAGCACCCAAGGAACCCACAGCACTCTATGGCACTCATAGCACCCATAGCACCCACCTCCTCGCGGTGCCCAGCCGGGTCCTCCACGTACACGAGCACCTCCCCCTGCCCGGCACTGATGGTCTCCACCGTGAACTCCGCTCGCTGCTTCACCACGTTCCCAGTGGGCTCGATGCCTGCAGGATGGGGGGGGCCAGCCCCATGGCAGGGCTGCTATGGGGCACCCAGCCCCACGGCACTGCACACTATGGGGCACCCAGCCCCACGGCACTGCACACTATGGGGCTCCCTGCCCCACACCCTCTGCCCCCTGTCCCTATGGTGAGCTCCCCTCTTAGAGGTGACCCCAATCTCTGGGGCCTCCCCTTACCAGGGCCGTAGGCTCGCGCCTTCTTGGGGTTGAGTTTGGGGCGCAGGGGGGCCCCCGGCTTCAGCTTGGCCTTGGGGAACTGGGACAGGTAGGTCATGACCGAGTGCTCGTCCACGTTGGGGTCCACAATCTCCTCGGGTGGTGATCACCTGGGGGGCGCCCATGGGGGTCAGTGGGTGCAGGGGGGTGCCCCATGGGGTCAATGGGTGGTGGGGGTGCCCCATAGGGGTCAGTGGGTGCTGGGGTGCCCCCCGCACCTGGGGGATGCCGAGCCACTCGTCCGCCTGCTGCATGGCCTCGCGCGCGTTCTCCACCGGCTTGCTGGGGTCCCACGAGTCCCAGTCGGGGCAGAGCCCTGGGGGGGGACAGTGTCACCAATGGGCCCATGGTCACAGTGCCCCCCAGTGCCCCATAGCCCATGGCCATAGTGCCCCCTATTGCCTCCCAGTGCCCCATAGCCCCATGTCTCTACATCCCCTGTCCCCATTGCCCCCCAAGTCCCCAGTGCCCCATTGTCCCCAGCTCATCAGGGGCACAGCTCTCCACCAGGGCCCCCATTGCCCCATTGCTCCCATTTTCCCCCATTACCCCCATTGCCCCCATGTCCCCATTACCCTCATTAACCCCATTGCCCCATTACCCCCATTGTCCCATATGTCCTCATTACCCTCATTACCCCCTTTGGCCCCATCTCACCAGGGGCACAGCTGTCCAACAGCACCCCCATTGCCCCGTATGTCCCCATTCCCCCGTTGCCCCATTAACTGCCATTACCCCCATTGCCCCCCATCTCATTGGGCGTGCAGCTGTCCACCAGCTCCCCCACTGCCCCCATTACCCCATTTACCCCCCATTCCCCCATCTCACCGGGGGCACAGCTGTCCCCCAGCTCCCCCACTGCCCCCATTACCCCCTTGCCCCCCATTTCCCCCATCTCACCGGAGGCACAGCTGTCCCCCAGCTGCCCCAATGGCCCCATTACCCCCATTACCCCATTGCCCCCATCTCACCGGGGGCACAGCTGTCCCCCCAGCTCCCCCACTGCCCCCATTACCCTCATTGCCCCCCATCTCACCGGGGGCACAGCTGTCCCCCAGCTCCCCCACTGCCCCCATTACCCCCATTGCCCCATTGCCCCCCATCTCACCGGGGGCACAGCTGTCCCCCCCAGGTCCCCCACTGCCCCCATTACCCCCCTTACCCCCATTGCCCCATTGCCCCCCATCTCACCGGGGGCACAGCTGTCCCCCAGCTCCCCCACTGCCCCCATTACCCTCATTGCCCCATTGCCCCCCATCTCACCGGGGGCACAGCTGTCCCCCAGCTCCCCCACTGCCCCCATTACCCCCATTGCCCCATTGCCCCCCATCTCACCGGGGGCACAGCTGTCCCCCAGCTCCCCCACTGCCCCCATTACCCCCATTGCCCCATTGCCCCCATCTCACCGGGGGCACAGCTGTCCCCCAGCTCCCCCACTGCCCCCATTACCCCCATTGCCCCATTGCCCCCATCTCACCGGGGGCACAGCTGTCCCCCAGCTCCCCCACTGCCCCCATTACCCCCATTGCCCCATTGCCCCCATCTCACCGGGGGCACAGCTGTCCCCCAGCTCCCCCACTGCTCCCCCACTGCCCCCATTACCTCATTGCCCCATTGCCCCCCATCTCACCGGGGGCACAGCTGTCCCCCAGCTCCCCCACTGCCCCCATTACCCTCATTGCCCCATTGCCCCCATCTCACCGGGGGCACAGCTGTCCCCCAGCTCCCCCACTGCCCCCATTACCCTCATTGCCCCCATCTCACCGGGGGCACAGCTGTCCACCAGCGCTCCCAGCGCGCGCCCGCTCTGCCAGTCGCGGCTGAAGTTGGTGATGGGCAGCTGGGGGAGGCGGTTCTGGATCCAGCCCAGCAGCCGCTGCTTCGGTGTCTGCCGCTTGGCCTCCTCCTCGTCCTCCTCGTCCCACACGGGCATGGAGATGGAGTAGTGCAGGATCAGCGTCCACACCAGCCCCAGGATCAGCTTCAGGTTCCCATCCACGATCGCTTTGCTGTCTGCGGGGCAGCGGCGGCGGGCGCCACCGGGGGCGCCAGAGGGGCATCGTCAGAGGGGGCGTCATCACAGGGGGGTGTCATCATATGGGGGGCGTCATCATAGGGGGGCATCAAGGGGGGTACCATCATGGGGGGAATCATCATGGGGGTATCATCATGGGGGTATCATCATATGGGGGGTACCATCATGGGAGGAATCATCATGGGGGGAATCATCATGGGGGTATCATCATGGGGGTATCATCATGGGGGGAATCATCATGGGGTATCATCATGGGGGGCATCATCATGGGGGGGCATCATCATAGAGGGGAATTATCATAGGGGGAGTATCATCATAGGGGGGTGTCATCATGGGGGGCATCACGGGGGGTGTACCATCATAGGGGGGTATCATCATAGGGGGAGTCATCACAGGGGGCCATCATCATCGGGGGGAATCGTCACAGGGGGCTATCACAGGGTATGGGGCATGGATCACACAGCGTAAGGGGGGACACGGGCCATAAGGGGGACACGGGACACAGGGCACTTGGGACACGTGACATAAGAGGGACATGGGGGACATGGGCTATAGGGAGGCCATGGGCCATAAGGGGAACATGGGATATGGGGGGACATGGGCTATAGGGAGGCCATGGGCCATAAGGGGAACATGGGATATGGGGGGACATGGGCTATAGAAGGCCAAGAAGGGACACAAAGGGAGCACGGCCCATAAAGGGGCCATAAGGGGGCCATGGGGGGGCCATGGGGGGGCCATGGGCCATAAGGGGGCCGTGGCAATGACTCAGGCAATGGGGGGGCAGGAGAGGCGGGGGGGGCCTGGCGCCCATCGATGGCGTGGAAGAGCCCAGAGACCATGGGGGGGGAACTCGTGGGCCCCCATGAGCGGTTTTGGGGGGGTCAGGGCAGGGGGCGGAGCCCACCCCTTGAGGGGGGGCACATCCGGGGCCCTCAGCAGTGGCCTGGGGGGGTCCCGGGTCCCCATTAAGGGCTATGGGGGAGTCCCTGGTCCCCATTAAGGGCTATGGGGGGGTTTTAGGCCCCCATTAAGGCCATGGGGGGGTCCCAGGTCCCCATTAAGGGCTATGGGGGGGTCCCGGGTCCCCATTAAGGGCCATGGGGGTCTCTGGTCCCCATTAAGAGCTATGGGGGGGTCCCGGGTCCCCATTAAGGGCCATGGGGGGGTCCTGGGTACCCATTAAGGGCCATGGGGGGGTCCTGGGTCCCCATTAAGGGCTATGGGGGGGTCCTGGGTACCCATTAAGGGCTATGGGGGGGTCCTGGGGTCCCCGTTATCGCCCATGGGGGGGTCCCGGCGCGTTCCCGCGCCGCGGGGGGGTCCGGGGGGGGGGGCGGTGCCGCGAGTGGGGGATGGGACCCCCGGCCCCTCCCCGGCCCCGCCCCCCGCTCCAACATTTTTTGGCCTTATATGGGCTCGGGCTCCAGCGAGGCCCCGCCCCCCCGGGGACCCCCCTCTCCGGCCCCCCCATTGGGACCCTCGGTGGGGGGGCGGCAGCGCCGCAATCAGTGTCTGCAGGATGTGGGGAGCCGCAGGGCCTCCCCCGGGACCCCCCCTCCCATCGGAACCCCCCTCCCTATCGGGACCCCCCCATGGCCCGGCCCCGCCCCGGCGGCAGCGGGACCCCCGCCCCCCCCCGCATTCTTGTGATGGGAGCGGGCCCCCCCCCCACCTCCTTTGTTATGGGCCATGGGGCGGGAGGGGCCGGAGGAGATCGGGGGGGCCCAAAATGGAGGGGAGATGGGGGGGGGGGCTTCGATGGAGCCCTGGGGGGGGGGGCAAAAAGGGGGCTCATGGGGGGAGTCCCCACAAAAGGGGGGTCGCAAGGCGGGGGTGTCCAGGATGCGGGGAGCAAAGGCACCCGATTGCCATGGGGGGCCCCCTGAACCCCCCCCATTACTACAGGGGGTTCGGGGGGGGGATCTCCCCTTAGCACCCCTCCCCCTACCCCCCCCCCGGGGGTCTCCTTAAGGCACCCCTGCACCCTGTGGGGTGCTCCATGGGCCCTAGGGCTCTGTAGGGCTCTATAAGGCTCTATGGAGCGCTATAGGGCTTTGTGGGGTGGTACAGGGCTTTATGGGGTCCTACAGAGCTTTATGGGGCACCGCATGGGCCCGGGGGCGCTAGAGGGGTTGGGGGATGCTATAGGGACCTGTGGGGCTTATAAGAACCTGTGTGGTTCTATTGGGCCCCCATAAGCACTCATGGAGCTCTATAAGCACCCATTGGGCTCTATAAAGGCTCCGTAAGTATCCATGGGGCTCTATAGGGTGTCTTTAGGGGTTCTATCAATACGGGTTCTATCCATAGTGTCTCTGTAGGGTCTCTATAGGGTCCCTACAGGGTCTCTATAGGCTATCTATAAGGTTTCTATAGAGTATCTATAGGGTTTCTTCAGGGTCTCTATAGGGTCTCTGTAGGGCCTCTATCTATAGGGTCCCTACAGGGTCTCTATGAGGGCTCTATGGGGTCCCTACAGGGTCTGTATAGGGTCTCTACAGGGTCTCTATCTATGGGGTCTGTATGAGGTCTGTGTAAGGTCTCTATAGGGTCTCTCTCTGTAAGGTCCCTACAGGGTCTCTATAGGGGTTCCATCTATAGGGTCTTTATAGCCTCCTTACAGGGTCTCTATAAGGTCTGTATGGTGGCTCTATAAGGTCTCTACAGGGTCTCTAAGGGGTTCCTATAGGGTTTCTCTCTATAGGGGTTCCATCTATAGGGTCTCTATAGGGCCCCTATAAGGTCTCCATAGGGCTTCTCTCTATAGGGTTTCTCCCTATGGGGTCTCTATAGGGTTTCTGTCTATAGGGTCTCTCTGCATAGGAGTTCCATCTATAGGATCTCTATAGGGTCTCTGTCTATAGGGTCTCTTCGTACAGGGTCTCTCTGTACAGGGTCTCTCCGTACAGGGTCTCTCTGTATAGGGTCTCTCCTGTATAGGGTCTCTGTCTATAGGGTCTCTCCGTACAGGGTCTCTCTGTATAGGGTCTCTCTGTATAGGGTCTCTCTGTATAGGGTCTCTGTCTATAGGGTCTCTCTGTACAGGGTCTCTCTGTACAGGGTCTCTCCGTACAGGGTCTCTCTGTACAGGGTCTCTGTCTATAGGGTCTCTCCGGACAGGGTCTCTCCGTGTAGCCCCCTCCGGCGCCGCTCACCGATGGACACGAGCTTGATGTTCTCCCTCTCGAGGAAGTCGAGCGCCACGGACACGTTCTCGAGCTGCATCTGGCGGAACGTGGGGCGCGCGTTGTAGCGGCGGCCGAGCTTCTTCTGGCTGAGCACCTCGAGCAGCGCGATCAGGCGCAGCCCGTCCCCCAGGTCCGTCTGCAGGTTCCCCACGCGCTTCTGCACCGCCTTCAGGTGCTCGTTGCACCACCGCGTGAACGTGTTCTGCTGGATGCGCTTCCAGGGCGCGTCCTCCGCCAGCTCCTTCTCGGTCGCCGGCATCTCCCCGTCCGCGGCCTCGCCCCGGGACAACGGCGGCTCCTGCGCCCGAGCCCGCCCGGCTGCGCTCATGGCGGAGGGGAGGGGGGGGCGGGCTGAGGGGAGGGGACACGGGGGGAGGGAGGGGAGACATCGGACGGGAGCGCGCACGGACGGGAGCGCGCTGCGCCCCCTGCGCGTCCCACTGCATCCCAGTGCTTCCCAATGCACCCATTGCATCCCAGTGCGTCCCACTGCATCCTAATGCACCCATTGCATCCCACTGCGTCCCAGTGCTTCCCAATGCACCCATTGCATCCCAGTGCTTCCCAATGCACCCATTGCATCCCAGTGCGTCCCAGTGCTTCCCAATGCACCCATTGCATCCCAGTGCGTCCCAGTGCTTCCCAATGCACCCATTGCATCCCAGTGCGTCCCACTGCATCCTAATGCACCCATTGCATCCCACTGCATCCCAGTGCTTCCCAATGCACCCATTGCATCCCAGTGCGTCCCAGTGCTTCCCAATGCACCCATTGCATCCCAGTGCGTCCCACTGCATCCTAATGCACCCATTGCATCCCACTGCATCCCAGTGCTTCCCAATGCACCCATTGCATCCCAGTGCTTCCCAATGCACCCATTGCATCCCAGTGCGTCCCAGTGCTTCCCAATGCACCCATTGCATCCCACTGCGTCCCACTGCATCCCAATGCACCCATTGCATCCCAGTGCGTCCCACTGCATCCCAGTGCTTCCCAATGGCACCCATTGCATCCCAGTGCGTCCCACTGCATCCCAATGCACCCATTGCATCCCAGTGCGTCCCACTGCATCCCAGTGCTTCCCAATGCACCCATTGCATCCCAATGCACCCACTGCATCCCAGTGCGTCCCACTGCATTCCATCACATCCCAATGCATTCCAGTGCATCCCATCACATTCCAATGCATCCCCGCACATCCCAACGCATCCCCATGCAGCCCATTGCATTCCAGTATATCCCAGTGCATCCCAAAGAATCCCAGCACACTCCAATGTATCCCAGTGCATCCTGATGCGTCCCATCACATCCCAATGCATCCCAAAGAATCCCATCACATCCCAGTGCATTCCAGTACATCCCAATGTATCCCAGTGCATCCCATCACATCCCAGCACATTCCAAAGCATCCCAGCGCATCCCCCGCATCCCAGCTCATCCCCATGCACCCCAATGCATCTCAATGCATCCCAATGCATCCGCCTGTAACCCCCTGCATCCCATTGCACCCCAGACAGGGACCACACTGCACCCCCTGAACCCCACAGACACCCCCTGAACCCCACTGCATCCCATAGAGAGGGACACCCCCTCTGCACCTCCAGATAGGTACCCCCATAGAGCGGGGACTCCCCCTGAACCCCACTGCACCCCAGAGACCCCCATAGCAAGGAGCCCCCCTGAACCCCATTGCACCCCATAGACAGGGACCCCCATAGCGGGGATATCCCCTGAACCCCACAGACAAGGACCCCCATAGCAGGGATCCCCCTCCACTGTACTCCATTCCACCCCATAGCAGGGATCCCCACCCATCCATCCCCTGCAGAGTTCCCCATAGAGGGCACCCCCATTTAGGAGACCCCCTCTTTGGGTCCCCCAATTGAGACCCCTCTAAAGCAGCCCCCCCCAAAGCGGGGCTCCCCTGCACCCATTGCGCTCCCAAAGACCCTGGACCCCAAAAACGGGGTCCCCCCATTCCTTGTCGGGGGGGGGGTCCCCATCTCCCTCCATGGTTTCCCCCATAGGGGCCATGGGCGCTCCCGGCCGCGCTCACCGCTCAGCTCGGTTCCGCTCCGCTCGGCTCCGGGGCCGCTGCTGCCGCCGGTGCCGGTGCTGGGGGGGAGCGGCCGGTGCTGCCGCGCGGAGCCTTAATTGGTAACGGGGAGCGCAGGCCCCGCCCCCTGGGGGGGGGGGGGGGAGCGGGAGGGGCGGGGGGGTCACATGGGGGGGTACAGGGCATGGGGGGCTATAGGGGGCTCATAGGGGGGTATAGGAACCTATGGGGTGGGGCAGGGGTATATGGGGCATGGGGGGATATAGAGACCCATAGGGTGGGATGTGGGGGATATAGGGACCCGTAGGGTGGGATGTGGGGGATATAGGGACCCGTAGGGTGGGATGTGGGGGATACAGGGACCCATAGGGTGGGATGTGGGGGGATATAGGGACCCGTAGGGTGGGATATGGGGATCCATAGGGTGGGATGTGGGGGATATAGGGACCCATAGGGTGGGACGTGGGAGATACAGGGACCCACAGGGTGGGATGTGGGAGATATTGGGACCCACAGTGGGATGAGGATGATATAAAGACCCATAGGGTGGGATGTGGGGGATATATGGATCCATAGGGTGGGATGTGGGAGATATAGGGCATGGGGGTTTTGTTGGGTCCCATAGAGCTGTGGGGAGTACATGGATCCCATAGAGTGGGATGGAGGAGTATAGGGACTCACAGTGTGCAGGTGCCCTATAGGATGGGGGGCCTACAAGGGGACCTATAGAGCAGGAGAGGAGCCCTTTGGGGCCTCAGTGGGGTGAGGTGGGGCTATGGGGATGCTCTGGGCAGAAGAGGGGCTCCATGGGCCCTATGGCGTGTGCAGACCTATAGGGATGATGTGGGGCAGTTAAGGCCAGTAAAGGGTCTTGGTGGGCCCCTATGGAGCAAGGGTGCCTATAGGGGACACGGGATCTGCGCTGCCCCTTGGCCAAGGAAGCCCCATATGGATTCTATGGGGGAGAGCTGGGGGAGGACCCTTAGGGACTATGGGGAAGGGGGGGCCCATTCGGGAGCTGTGGGGCCCTATAGGACCCTATGGGGCAGGAAACGAGGCAGCGCCGGAAGCGGCTGCTCCAGCCCTGATAGCGCTGGGGGGCATTAACCGGGGGGAATTAATGCAAGAGGGTCCCATGTTACATATGTGTTCTATGTACATTACACGCCTGTGTGGGGGCTGTGTCACTGCAAACACGCGTGTTACATGCGTGTGCGTGGCGCCACACGTGCAAACATGCCCCATGGCTCACACCTATTACACGTGTCCAAGGAGCTGCACATACATACACACACGGCTCTGCGTGCACCCCGGGCCCCCCAGCCCAACACCTGTTACACGCGTGTGCAGGCTCCCACATGCCTGTTCTAGGCGTGTTCTGTCGCTCCCACACGCACCAACACGCCTGCTCCACGTCTGTACCGCATGCACATGTGTGTTACATCCCTGTGGAGCTGTGTGCACCTGGACCCACAGGAGATAGGGGCTCAGGGGGCACCAAGGGGGGGGGTTACCCCCCCAGTGATGCTCTATGGGCCCCGGGGGGGGTTTACCCCCCCAATGATGCTCTAAGGGCCCTGGGCGGGGGGGGATTTACCCCCTTTAAGCCACTTTGGGGGGGGCAGCTCCACCAGGATGATCTCACCCCAGCAGGAATCCGGGGGGGGGGGAGGGAAGGGGGGTGTGGACACGTCACAGGGAGGCTTTACCTCCCCCCCGCGGAATCTGGCCCCCCAAAGCTGAGTCACGCCGGGTTCAGTGTAAACACGGCCCCGACCCTGCTGCTCCTTCCTTATAGGGCCTGAAACAGTGCCGGGCCCCCCCGGCCCCCCCCCACCTAAAATAGAAGCCATTGGTCTGGGGGGGGCCTGGGGACCACCCCACACCCTGCCCCCGCAATGGGGAGTGGAACAGCCCAAACGTGTCCTCCTGGAAAGGGAAGGAACCAATGTGGGGGGGACACGGGGGGGGTCAGTCATGGAGGGAGCCCTTGAAGCGCTGCTGCAGGGTGGCCACCCTGGTTTCTGTGGGGGGAGAAATGGGGGGGGGACCCTCAAATAGGCCCCCCCCCATGTGGTAGAGAAGCCCTAACCCTCCCCCAATGAATGACCCCCCACAGCACCATGAAAGAGCCCCTGCACCCCAAACCCCCCCATATACCCTAAAGGATCCCACCATACCCCAACCCCCTGTACCCCAAAACCTGCCCTCGGTACCCCAATAAACCCCTGCACCCCCAAATCCCCCCATAAGACCCCCGATAGCCCCCCCATTCCCAAACCAAATCAACCCCCTTTTATCCTAAGTGACCCACCTACACCCCAAAAGGCCCCCCCATTAGGTGTTGAGGTGCCCCCCCTTAGGAATTGGTGTGCCCCCTGCTTACCCATTGCATGGCGCCAGCTCCCCTCAGCCTCCATGGCCAGGTCCCCCAGCAGGGTCATGGCCTCCAGGCCCTGGGGGGAGAACAGGGGGGGAAGTGGGGGGCAGGGACCCCCAGACCCCCTCATCGACACCCCCAGAACCACCCATGGGCAACCCCAAATCCCCCGATGGGCACCCCAAACCCCCCCATGGGCACTCCCAAGCCCCCCCCATGGACACCCCCAGTCCTCCCCTATAGGACCCATGCCCATCCCCCCCCCACCCCAGTATCTCCCTATAGGGCCCAGAGATCGCCCCGAGTGCTTCCCTGGGGGACTTAGGATGCCCCCCAACACGCTCCCATGGGGCTCAGGAGGCCCCCAAATCCTCCCCTATAGGACCCATAGACCCCCCCCAAAACCTTTCCTTGGGACCCAATCCCCCCCCTCCCCATATTCCCCTATAGGGCCCACGCTCTCACCAAGCCTCCCCTATTGGCCCCCCAATCTTTAGGGTCCCCCCCACCTGCTGGAGGTGCCTCAGGCGCCGGCACACGGGGAGGGCCATGGGGCCACATGGGGCGAGCTTGGGGGGTGCTGCTCCCTGCGCATGGGTCTGGGGGACCCCCAGCCCTGTCCCCACAAAAGCAGAGGCCAGAGCGGCCAGGGCCTGTCCAACGGGCAGCAGGGGGGGACCGGGCCCGGGGGCCCCCGCAGCTCGGGGCTCTGTGGGACAATGGGGCTTAGACCCCCCAATGGGCACCCCACTGGGTACCCCCAACCCCCCACCAATGGGCACCCCCAACCCGCCCCTTGGGCACCCCCAAAACCCCCCATGAGCACCCCCAATGTGCACCCCCCAGAGCAATCCCAAAGGGTGCCCCCAGGCCCCCACCATGGGCACCCCCAAACACCCCCATGGGCACCCCCCAGTCGGCACCCCAATGGGTGCCCCCAGACTCCCCCCAGTTGGTGGCCCCAATGGACAGCCCCAAACTCCCCCATGCTCACCCCAATGGGCACTCCCAGCCCCCCCGAATGGGCGCCCCCAAACCCCCCCATGCCCCCCCCTCACCTCGGCCTCCATCATCTCCAGGTGCTTCTGGGCCTCCCCCAGCTCCGCTTCCAGCTCCAGCTCCCCCAGGCGGGGTGGGGGGTTCCCGGGGGGGGTCCCGGGGCTGGGGCTCAGCGGGGGGGGGTTCAGCACCGCCACCCCCTCGGGGGACTCCAGGACCTCCTGCAGGAAGGTGCTGGCGCGGAGCAGGATGCTGGGGGGCAGAACCAGGGCCTAGAATGGGATTCAAGCCCCCTTGGGGGGTGGGGGGGCAGCTGCTATGGGGGGGTCCCCATTTTGGAGGAGTCCCCACTTTGAGGGGGTCCTCACCTGCTCCGAGCATTTTCCTCTTCCTCCTCCCTGGAGGGGGCCGCATCCAGCAGGTCCCTGATGAACCCCAGCTGCTGCTCGGGGGGTGCTGTGCCCTGGGGGGCACAAGCACAGAGAATGGGGGGACCCCCCCAAAAAAAACCACCCCCCGCAAAACATCCCCCCATGGACCCACCTCCACCAGCGCTGTGTCCTCGGCCTCGCTCAGCATCAGCTCCTCCGCCAATGCCGCCAGCTCTGGGGGTGCAATGGGGGGTTTGGGGGGGATCAACGGGAGGAGGAGTCAACAGGGTGAGCAATGGGGGAGGTCCATTGGGGGTTCTGGGGGGGATCAATGGGGGGGTCCGGGGGGATCAATGGGGGTAAATAGGGGGGCAATAGAGGGGTCCAGGGAGGTCAATGGGGGGGCTGGGGGGGGTCAATGGGGGCAATATGGGGGCTAAATGGGGGGTCCTGGGGGATCAATGGGGAGGATATGGGGGTTCAATGGGGGGAATGGGGAATCAATGGGAGTAAGCGGGGGGCAATAGGGGGGGTCAATGGGGGAGTTTGGGGTTCCCACCTCTCAGCCGCGCTCTCTCGGGCCCATGCCGGAGCTCATCCAAGCGCTTGGCGAGGGGAGGGTTCACGCTGCGGGGGGGAGAGGGAAGCAGTGTGGGACCCCCCCAGTACCGGTCACAGGGGCCCAGACCCCGGTACCGGACACGGCCCCGGTTCCCGTTACCGGCAACAGATCCACTCGAGCAGCGCCAGGCGCGGGCGTGAGGGGGTGCAGAGCAGCCGCAGCGCGGCCCCGGGCTCCAGCGGCGCCTCCAGCCCGGGGGGGGAGCTCGGCAGGGCCTGGGGGGGCAGTGACCGCTTGTACCGGATGTACTGGGCCCCCCCCCCCCCGTTATTGGACTCCCCTCCGGTACCGGACCCCCCCCCGTTAACGGAACCGCCCCCGGTTACCGGAACACACCCCCCCTTTACCGGGACCCCCCCCGCCATTACCAGACCCACCCCGTTACCGAACCCCTCCCCCTCGTTACCGGAAACCCCTCCGTTACCGAACCCCTCCCCCCCCCGTTCCGGACACTCCCGCCCCCGTTACCCGATCCCTTTCCCCAGTTACCCCCCCCCGTTACTGGACACCCCTCCTCCCCCGTTACCAGACACCCCCCTTACCGGAAGCCCTCCCCCCGTTACCGACCCCTCCCCCCCGTTACCGGAAGCCCCTCCCCGTTACCGGACACCCCTCCCCCCGTTACCGACCCCCGCCCCGTTACCGGACGACCCCCGTTACCGGAAGCCCCTCCCCCTTACCGGACACCCCTCCCACCCCGTTACCGACCCCCCCCGTCCCGGATCCCCCTCACCCGCAGCCGCGCCACCACCGCCGCCGCCGCCTCAGCCGCCATTTCCCGCCGTTCGCGCTGATTGGTCGCTACCTCAGGGACTCGCCCGCCCCCCGCTGGGACGTTGCCCAATGGGGAAGCTTCCCGCCTAGCCGCGATCTGGCGCGCACATCGCGATTGGTGGAGCGGCCGCGCTGAGGTCCCGCCTCTCGGGGCCAGTAGGAGACAGCAGAGCGGCTGCGGCTGCGCAGGGGAAGGTCCCGCCCCCGGAAGTGCTCGGGACGCGCCGGGCTCCGCCGCCGCCGCCGGTTCCCTGCGGCCGCCGCCGGGTGAGGGGAGGGGCCGGGCGCGGGCGTGACGTCACGGCGACGGGAGGGAACGCCGTGACGTCACGACGGAGGGCGCGGAGAGAGGGATAGCGGAAGGGGCGGGGTTTTGGGAGACGTCACGGGAGGGGAGAAATGACGTCGACTTCCGCTCGTCCGTGGGGCCGCGCTGTGACGTTCCTCTCTGCGCTGTGACGTCACGGGTCACGCTGCGGTGACGTAGGCAACCACGCCCCACAGGCCGCCATGGAGGGGGAGGGTCCGGACGCTCGCGCTCGCTTCCGCGTGGCGCGGTTCATCATGGAGGCGGGTGAGAGGGGGCGGGGCTTGGGGGAAGGGGCGGAGCCAAGGGGGAGAGGTGGGGTAAAAAGGGGGCGGGGCCTTGTGGAGAGGGCGGAGCCTGGGAGGGAGTGGCGGCTAAGGGAGAGGGGCGGGGGCTTAGGGAAAGGGCGGAGCTTGGGGAGTGGTGGCAAAGAGAGGGGCGTGGTCTATGGAGGGCGAGGCGGGGCATGGTAGGCGTGGCCTATTGAGAGGAGGCGGGACCGGGAGGGCGTGGCCTAACGCAGGGTGGGCGGGGCCCGCGGCAGGCGTGAAGCTGGGGCTGGGCTCGGTCGCCGTCGCCACCGCCTGCGGCGCCTTCCACCGGTGCTGCCGGGCCCTGGGCGCCCGCGCCCCCCACGACCCCCACCTCGTGGCCGCCGCCGCCATCGCCCTCGCAGCCAAGCCGAGGGGACCCCGCTGCGAGCCCGCGACCTCCTCAACGTCACCCACAGGTACCGGGGACCCCCCCCATAGCACCCAATGGGTGCCTCTGCCCGCCCCCATAGCACCCATTGGGTGCCTCTGACCACCCCATAGCACCCAATGGGTGCCTCTGACCCCCCCATAGCACCCAATGGGTGCCTCTGACCCGACCCCCATAGCACCCAATGGGTGCCTCTGACCCCCCCCATAGCACCCAATGGGTGCCTCTGCCCGCCCCCATAGCACCCATTGGGTGCCCCTGTGCCCCCCCCGTCCAGGTGCCTGCACCCTGGGGTGCCCCCGTTGGCGCTGGACGCGGAGTTCTGGGCGCTGCGGGACAGCCTCATGCAGTGTGAGCTGTGGGTGCTGCGGGTGCTGCGGTTCCGCCTGCCCCTGGCGCAGGCGCACAAGGTGAGGGCTGGCACCCATTGACACCCCGTGACAGCCATTGACACCCACTGACATCCACTGACACCCCCTCACACCCACTGGGACCCGTTGACACCCATTGATACACAGTGACACCCATGGGACCCTCTGGGACCCGTTGACGCCCATTGGCACCCACTGGCAGCCGTGGGTCACCCCAGGACTTTCTAACACCCATGGGAACCCTTGACACCCGTTGGCACCTATGAGACCCCCTCACAGTAACAGGCACCCACTGACACCTGTCAGACCCACTGACAGCCACTGCGACCCACTGACACCCATGGAACCCCCCTAGCACCCATTGACACCCATGGTATGCCCCAGCACCCACTGACACCCATGAAAGCCCCCTAGCACCCATGGGACCCTCCCAGCACCCTTGGGACCCCCCCAGTCCCCATCCGGGGCTGTGGGGGCCCCCCTGACCCCCCCCGTTCCCCTCCCCCCGCAGTACCTGGCTCAGTTCGCGCTGGCGCTGGGGCAGTGGGCGCGGGGGGGGCGGGGGGGCGCCGGGCGTGGCCTGGGCGCTGCTGCGGGACGGGGCCGCGGGGGGGCTGGGGCTGCAGAGCCCCCCCCAGCACGTGGCGGCCGCCGCGCTGCACCTGCCATGGAGCTGTGCGGGTGCGGGGCCCCCCCCGGCGCGCCCCCCCACTGGTGGCAGGTACGGGGGCATGGGGGGGCTATGGGGTAAAGGGGGGGCATAAGGGGGTGATGGGGGGGTTATAAGGGGGCTAGGGGGGGGCCAGGAGCGGTTACAAGAGGCTGATGGGGGGGTGGTGGGTGCTGGGGGGTGATGGGTGCTGGGGTACTGGGTGCTGGGGGTACTGGGTGCTGGGGGATGTTATAGGTGCTGGGGGTGATGGGTGCTGGGGGGGTGTTATGGGTGCTTGGGGTGATGGGTGCTGGGGAGGTGTGATGGGTGCTGGGGGGGGTGTTATGGGTGCTTGGGGTGATGGGTGCTGGGGGGGTGTATGGGTGCTTGGGGTGATGGGTGCTGTGTCCCCCCAA